GTTATTTTTAGACACTTTGAGAGTAATCGAAACTTGAGTAATTATTAAGTAAAGATAAATAAATAAATTTATTAATTTCTATTTTTCTATGAAATCATTATTTTACTGTTATTCAGAAACTTTGTATTGATTATGTTAATTTAATTAGCTGTTTGCCTTTATTCGTCGAAAGTCTTGTTCGACGATCATTATAACTATACATAACTATAGCTATTGCCAGTGATACCAACTGTTCAAAAAGAATACTTCTAAATAAATTCGAAAACTCACTCAAATTGACTAAATTCAAAAAACTTACTGATTTTAAAATCACGATTTTTTATACTATTAAGGTAAAATTAAAACATTACCTGATAAAATTAAAAATTTCATTAAAAATATAAATTGAAGTAATATAAAAATGATTTATTTTAACATCTTATATACCGCTTAATAATTGACTTTAACATATTTTTAGAACACGCAATCGAGTGGCAATATTTTTATTATTTGTGTAAGAAATAATACATTCAGTATTATAGCTTAGGGCGGAAGAATTTAAAATATACACACAAGGCACATAAGCCTTGGTCTGATTTCCACCAAAGCAGCACAGCACTATTAAATTATATTTTATCCATGCTGTTAAGATTCAAAATTACTTAACTGCGCGCTTTGTCGCCCGTTACGGCTCAAGGCTAAACAAAACAATAAAAATATAATCATATCGTTGTAGTAATCGCTGATACCAAGATTAGTATTTAAATGAAACGGATCTTATTTGCATGGTGTTAAGATTCAAAATTACTTAACTTATTCATAAAATCTGTTTGAAAATCTGATATCGTGCATTGCTTGCCGTCCCACTCTAACTAGTAAGTGTTTATATCTCACGCGCTTTGTCGCTCGATATCTGATATCGTGCATTGCTTGCCGTCCCACTCTAACTAGTAAGTATTTATATCTCACGCGCTTTGTCGCTCGATATCCGATATCGTGCATTGCTTGCCGTCCCACTCTAACTAATAAGTATTTATATCTCACGCGCTTTGTCGCTCGATATCTGATATCGTGCATTGCTTGCCGTCCCACTCTAACTAGTAAGTATTTATATCTCACGCGCTTTGTCGCTCGATATCTGATATCGTGCATTGCTTGCCGTCCCGCTCTAACTAGTGAGTATTTGTATCTCACGCGCTTTGTCTCTCGAAATCTGTTTAAAAATCAGATATTGTGGCAAACGCGTATGATATCGCCGTATCGCGATTCGTGTCGGTATAGCGAGCGAGCACGGTACATCAGATTTCGGAAATATCAGATATTGTAAAATACATAGATATTGAACGAAGCGATATTGAGATATTGTAATAGTATCTAGTTTTCATATCTGATACGATTTGTATCGCCCACTTCTAATACACAGTAGAGATGGGTCGTATCGCTTTTTCTGAGTACCGTATCTGAATCAGATTTCGATTTCAAATATCAGATTTCGAAACTATGTATTTTAATATCTAGATATTTTACGGTCACGTATCCACCTGAATTCTAAAAAAAAAAAAAAAAGATAAAAATGTTTTCAACGATATTTTATACTCATTCGGAATATAAATTGTGCAGGCGTATTTAAAAGTTGATTCATTGCATATACATAATGTTCGTGATATTTGAAACTTAATACCAGTGATACCAACTGTTCCAAAAGAATACTTCTAAATAAATTCGAAAACCCACTAAAATTGACTAAATTTTAAATCACGATTTTTTATACTATTAAGGTAAAATTAAAACATTACCTGATTACATTAAAAATTTCATTAAAAATAGAAATTGAAGTAATATAAAAATGATTGATTTTAACATCTTATATATCGCTTAATAATTGACTTTAACATATTCTTAGAACACGCAATCATGAGTGACAATATTTTTATAATTTGTGTAAGAAATAATACATTCAGAATTATAACTTAGGGCAGAAGAATTTAAAATATACACACAAAGCACATAAGCCTTGGTCTGATTTCCACCCAAGCAGCACAGCACTATTAAATTATATTTTTCTTTTTGTGTACTTTTATTTTTTTTTCCAAAAATATGAATAAAATTTAACTAATAAAAATATTCACAAAAAATTTTCCTCCTAAAACATTTCCATTTATATTTTTTCTTCCTTAATTTTGGCAGAAAATTCTTAAGTAGTAAGTTGGCATCCCTAACTATTACGTGCTAGGTACCAATGCAATCCAGCTCAACGCTAAACAAAATTTAAAGACATCGTTAATATCGTAATTCGTATTTAAATGCAACTAAACATTTTTTTTCCATGCGGTTAAGATTCAAAATTACTTAACTGCGCGCTTTGTCGCCCGTTACGGCTCAAGGCTAAACAAAACAATAAAAATATAATAATATCGTTGTAGTATTTAATTAAAACGGATCTTATTTGCATGATTTTAAGATTCAAAATTACTTAACTTATTCATAATATCTGTTTAAAAATCTGATATTGTGCCTTGCTTGCCGTACTGCTCTAACTAGTGTAATATTTGTATCTCACGCGCTTTGTCGCTCAAAATCTGTTTAAAAATCTGATATCGTGCATTGCTTGCCGTCCCGCTCTAACTAGTGAGTATTTATATCTCACGCGCTTTGTCGCTCGATATCTGATATCGTTCATTACTTGCCGTCCCGCTCTAACTAGTGAGTATTTGTATCTCACGCGCTTTGTCTCTCGAAATCTGTTTAAAAATCAGATATTGTGGCAAACCGTATGATATCGCGATTCGTGTCGGTATAGCGAGCGAGCACGGTACATCAGATTTCGGAAATATCAGATATTGTAAAATACATAGATATTGAACGAGCCAGTAAGCGATATTCGGATATTGTACTAATATCTAGATTTCATATCTGATACGATTTGTATCGCCCACTTCTAATACACAGTCATAGTTGACAGGTTGACAGGTATAGTTTGTATGAGAAAATAAAATTGTTGCTATTTCGATTTTCCAAGCAATTTTTCCATAATTTCTCATCGTTTAAACCTTCCCTGGACTGCCACAAATATTTCAAAACCAAAATTAGCCAAATCGGTCCAGCCGTTCTCGAGTTTTAGCGAGACAAACGAACAGCAATCCATTTTTATATATAAGAGAAGATATATAGGAGATTAATTTATATTATGTCATTCATTGCGTCACAAATTCTTCCTGCATCAAATGTTTTTTTAACTACCTAACGTGGTGACGATAGTAATTGTTTATTCGTTCGCTTCAAACCACAATTATCTTGTTTCGGATTGATTTGAAATGTCGAGTAAAAAATGTAAACAAAGTTCTGATCGTTTTTGTTATGTTTGTGGACAGTTTATATTTTCAAAAAAGAGAAGATCCGTTGTAAATTCGTTAAAAAGTGCATATCTCCATTATTTTAAATTTCCTGTTGCAATTACAAAGAAATTGTTACCGATTTATTGAAAAATTTTCAAAATATGGAAGTAAACATGTCATTAAAGATTCATTTCCTGCACTCGCATCTGAATTTTTTGCCTGAAAACTTAAGAAGTATAAGTGACAAACAAGGGGAAAGTTTTCACGTTTTTGAAGAACGTCATCAAGGATTTTGGGATAAAAGATGTTAGGGGATTACTGTTGGTCCATTACTAGAGAAACTGATTCAAATAGCTACAAAAATTTGTCATTTTTAATTTTTTTTAGTATACGAAAATTATGTATTTCAGTTAAGTTAAGAAATGTTTATTAAAACAGACGTGACAGAATTTTTTTATTAATTCTGGATAATTCCACCTAAATGAATAACAAAATAACAACTTTTAGCTGGGGTATGAAAACCGTGTAAATTAGTGTAATTGTTATAAAAATTTAATTGCCACAGTTACTGTAGGAGATGCAACACCAAGTTGCTTCAATTTCCATAAAGGCGTTCGCCAGGCACGAGTTGTCTCTGCGTTCGCTAAGCGCTTGAGAACTGGGAGGAAGGAATCAAGATAAATGGAGTCAACATGTCTAATCTCCACTATGCACATGACAGCACCCTCTTTGCATCATCTAAAGCGGAAATGGCAGAGTTGCTGAACTCGCCATTAATAAAGCTAAGACCAAACTCATGATGATTGACAATCTCGCAACCATTCAGCGTGCGGATCTCTTTCTTACAAGAGTATGTAAAGGTGAACCAATTCAAATACTCAGTAGTTAATAACACCGGCAAATTCGAATCAAAAATACGTAGATAAATAGGGATGGACGAAACGGCACTGACTCAACTGACCAAGGTGTGGAGAGACAAAAATATCAGTAATCAAACTAAAATACACCTGGTTAACACACTTGTCTTTCCCGTTGCTCTATACGGTGCAGAGACATGGACTTTCAAAGTCGCAGACAGACAGAATAAACGACCTTGAAATGTGGTGGTGGCAGCGTATGCTGCGAATACCATGGATGGACCGTCGCACAAAAATCGCCATCTTAAAGCAGCTTAAAATAGATAATACTCTGTACACAGTCTGCGCATAGGACGATACTTTGGCCCTTTTCCACACAGAGAAGCAGACAACCTTGAGCCTTTGACAGTGACGGAGAAAATAGAAGATAAAAGACCTAGAGGCCGTGATCCTAAACGGTGGGCGGTATAAATTCCTAAAAACCTAGAAATCCCCTTAAGCGCCGCACTCTACCAGGCGACGGAGCGAAACCGATTAAACCGTTGACCAATTAAATATAAGTCACGATCCTCAGCAGTGAGGGATCGACTAAGAAGAAGAAAATATAGATATTTAAATTAATTTAAAAATATATTGCTATTTTACCGAATTCAATGACAATGATTTTCTAATAATAAAACACTAGATGAAATGTCATTATTTATGTCATAGGGCTGTGGCGGAATATAGATAATATATGTCCATTATTGTAATGTAAAAATATTTTCTTTTCCAATTATTTTTTCTAATATTACTGAGATTAAATATCCTCCGAATATTAAAAAAAGGTATGGTCAATTTAGCTGACGCTTTTATGATTAACACGGTGACTGAGGGAGCTATGAATGTCTTACGCCAGATCGTAAGTTAAACACAGATTTTAAATATCTAGAATGAATGAACAAAAAAATTGAATAATTACTTTAGATAGCGTCGTACATGATAGTCGTTTAGTTGATACGTAGTGTCTCTTATCGTGCGCGGGGGCATATTATTAATCTTATATTAATTGCAGGGAATTTTCAAGACAAAAACTGAAATTTCACAACCAGTGCCAATAATTATAAAGATGCCACTCTGGGAGTTAGCTCAAGCGGCAGGGCCGTTTGTAAGGCTTGCAGGCCTGAGTGGAGCTGTGGCTGTAGTCCTTGGCGCTATGGGAGCCCATCGAACTTTTCCAGAAACTGAGGGCAAAGAAGATTTAAGAAAGATATTTGAAACCGCCAATAGATTCCACTTTCTTCATACTTTAGCTTTGATGACTGTACCACTTTGCAGAAGACCATACATTGTATGTATTCGTTATGAAATGTAATATAACTTTTCTTAACTTGGCACTAAAAAGAAATTACAACATATTATAATGAATAACTTGACCAAACTGACACATCTGTGTTATATCTTCGTTTATCTCCAATATTTTTGTGTTTACTATATCATATTATCTGTAGGAAAAAAGTACCTACTTTAGGATGATTTCTTGTGAACAGAGAGAACAAAAATCAGGTGGTTTTCAGTGCTTACCAATGCCCATCTACAATGCCTGAGCCATTGTATATGCATTGCCAACCATTAAAAAAAATTGGATCTTGGTTATTTCACTACCAGACAAAATGTGAAAGTATAATATTTTCACTTCATGTCTGTCTTCTGCAAGGCCATGTCACTTCACCAGATGACCCTGCCCATTTGTACAACAGAAGAATATTATTATTCAGAGGGTGCCACAAAAATCAAAATTAAAATCAAAATCATTTATAGCCACCCTCTACTACATCAGATTATAAATAAAGTTTAATTTAAAAATGATATAATTTATATTGATATAAAATGCTTTACAGGCAGGTGGATTTTTCATTGCTGGAATGGGTCTATTCTGTGGTACTTGCTATTACCATACTTTCACTGGTGACCGAAGCTTCCGACGCCTAACACCAATAGGAGGTTCCTGCCTAATATTAGGTTGGCTTGCAATGATGCTGTAATTGGCATAGTTTTTCAATAGGTGTATGGGTTAGATTTTTATTATAGGTGTAGAGGAAACCATTCCAAACAATCAATACGATACTGAATGTTATCAGTTTATAATCACAATGATTGTTTTAAGGAGTGTAGTCATAAACTTGATCAGCCCTCTGTTAAATATAAAAGTAGATATATTTTAAAGTGCACAGTAAATAATAAAATTAATGATTTATGTTATATATTCATTTTTAAAACCTTGTAAATATTTAATAAATATATGTAGTTATTTTTGTGTTTTAATTTCATGTTCTTGCCACTAAATTTAAAGCTATTATTTTTGTGACGTTAATAACAGTTGCTAAGTTATTGTTAAAATCGAGGGTTTCATTCCCACAAATAACAATTGTTTGTGTGACCCTTCATCACTCGCATAGCAGATTTACATACTTCTGTTTCCATGACAATATTGGAGAAAATTACTCTCAAAATGCGAATTCAGAATTGATTCACTCAAAGCTATTCCAGAGGCTTACAAATATTTCCTTATTATTCCGTATAATTTCCTTATTATTATTATAATGTGGCAAAGCATTTACAACCCTACAGGCGTTGGAAATATACATGGGCGGCAGTTATCAAGCTAGCTCAATTAAAAATGCCCAACATTTGAAGCTGGCAGGAGTATCTTAACGGTGCATTTCGAAAATTAGGAGCCAAGGTGAAAGCGCTTTTTTGCAGTGGGTTCAAAACACGTATGTTTTGTAGGCACGGCCTGCATTGAGAGACTGGAAATTCATATTTATTAGATCTTTACTGGCTTAAGTACTCGCTAGGTAACTCTCCAAAACTGTACTGTCTCCTGCATACCCATATACACAGGAGAAAAACAGGTCATTAATATGAAACTAGAAGAGAGTTGTGGAGAGGATGGAAGGTGGTCGGCACAGGTGCGGAATTGCTGCCATCGATGATAACTGTCCCCAAAGAAATTCTCACCCTATGGATTAGGCCAGAGTATATGCCCTATGCTTGCTTCTTGCTTATAAGGCGAGTCCAACACTGGTGAAGTTGTTAACCAGGACCGGATTTAGGAGATGGCAACCGGGGCTACAGCCCCAGGGCCTCCACAAAAAGAGGTCCAACCAAAGAGAATGTAATCACTACGTTTACGTTTGTTGGGCCCAACAACAGAAATTTCAAAAACAGATTCAAATTCAGACTAGTAAACAGCTTTTACTTTCATATTTTTTTTCGCGTTGTACCTTTACCTACAGGGTGAGCCATTATACTCTTTCACACATTGTTTTCCTCTGGGCGTGAATGTATAAACATAAACTTAAATCTATAGTCAAGAGAAACATTAAAAACCGAGTGTATGGTGAAGCAATGTGCACACGTTTCGTCGGTCGGTTTCGATGACTCCGCGGCCCAATTACGAAGGTATTGGCGTCAGGGGTTGTTGGGTTCGATTCCCACACGAGAACTATTTTTGTAATCTACAGATAATTGTTTCTGATCTGGGTGTTTGGCCATGTGTAATTCATGTCTGTTAAATCTCCTTAATTACAAGGGTAATTTTATCCTACAGTAACGGGGCTATTTTTTTGTGAAGGGTCTTTCCCTTCCCACAACAGATTTTCCAGGTCGTAGTGATCGTTGAGACTTACTACCCAACCCCTTCCACAAACGGAATGTATATGTCGACGTTTGTCGATTTTGCACACCTACCTGTATATTTTTGTATAATATTTATGTAATAAAACATTTGCTACTTCATATTTGTCTTGCCTCTTAATTATTTATTACAATTCTAAAAAGTTAAAGAGGTGGTTGTAATGAAAACAACAAATTGATCAATATTGTTTACATGGTTTTATTGAAATTGTTACATATTAAATTTTGCACTTTTCTTTACTCATTTATGATACTTAAGGTTTAATCAAAACATACACCATTTGGTATTAAATGCTATCATAACACATAAGGACTCCCAAGAAGATTTTCAATGGTCCGTGAAATATGACTTACGAAATAATGTATTATATATATATATATATAACATTGGCGGTTATAAGTGAAGTACTCCCTGCGAGGGGCTCAAGGCACAATTACAACTCCGAGCCACGCAACGACAGGGCGCACTTCTAGTGCCATGCTTGCGTATTGAGAACCAATCTCTAACATATCGATAAAGAAATATACAAAGCTATCACATTAAATTAACACAAAATATAATTATAAACATATTTAGGTAATCTAAAAGTAATCAAAAAAAGAGAACGAAAAACAATCACACAGCACTTTAAGTGTCTGCCACTGCAAAGAAATAAATCACTCTTGATTGCACATGAATATAAGGTGTCCGAGGCTTCAGCGCCATAGAATAATTAATATATGATTAATAATAATATCACTAACCGCTTTCACACAGTAGCATGTATACATTAAGGACCTAAAGAAACTCTGCTTGAGACAGCAAATTTGGTAAAGTATTCACGACAAGTGGAAAGAATGCTGTCCTTCCGAGGCAGCCAGGCGCAATTTGGCGCGCATCACCTCAGCACTGCTATAGTCAGGCAGCTTGAGGTAGTTGACACATGTCATCACCGACGGCAGATACTCGTCGGGGTCAAGGGAAGACTCAAGCGACTTGCGAACCACCGTCAGTGGTGGGTTCAACGCCTTGAAACCTGCGGAAACGGAAATATAACTTTAATTAAAGCAATACTCTAACAATTAAATTTGATTCATAAATAGTGTATAGTGAACACTAAACTTTGATTGTTCAACTCTCTTGACTATGTTATCCCGAATTAGCAAGCATATGGTAAATCAATAATTTATACACAATATCTTTCGTGCTTGCACACCCCTTGGTACTACTACTACTACTACCTGACTGTTAACGGTCACGGCGACCGCTTCAGCTCCGGTGTTTTAGGCGTTCATGCGCTCTAGCGTGGCTCACGTAACCAATTTTGTTAGCAAATGTCCGCGCGCATAATGGACATGTGAGCACACCACTGACATAATTGTAGTTTATTGCCGCAGGTGGTCGGGCTTTCAGCTCATCCCGTCTGACGTCTAGCCCAGTACATCGACGGGACTCAAATTGAGTAGTGTCCTTTTCTACAAGAGACCTCCATTTAGAGCGGACTGTTGCGTGCTTCTCCCACTGTGACGGGTCAATACCACAGTTTTTCATATGGCGCTTAAGCACATCCTTGTACCTGAGGAGTTGCCCTCCATGCTTTCGCTTGCCCTCCTCAAGTTCTGAATAGAAGATGCGCTTAGCCACTCGACCTTCTGCCATCCTCGATACGTGTCCGCCCCAACGAAGATGGCGCCGCATAAGGTAGACCTCTATTCCACACACTTTAGCTCTCCGCAAAACTTCGGTGTCCCGTACGCGGTCGGACCAGCTGATCTTTAAAATTTTGCGGAGGCATTTTAAGTGAAACCGATCTAAAGTGCGGATGTGACGACGATAAGTGGTCCACGTTTCAGATGAGTATAGAAGGTTTGGAAGCACGACAGCCATGTAAACAGATATCTTTGTGGCCAGTTTCAGGCTATGCGTGCGAAAGACCTTCGTATTCAGTTTACCAAAAGCCGCAGCTGCAGCACCAATCCTGCTGTTAATTTCGACATCAAGGTCGCATGTCGACGATATTGTGCTTCCCAAGTAACGAAATTTGTCGACCTGTTTTAGCACATCATCGCCAAGTTTTATAGTCAGTGTCCCCCGACCATAAATGTCCAAAGACATTACTTCCGTCTTTTTGACACTGATTTTCAATCCAAACTTACAGCAGGACTGATGGAAGCCGGACACAAGTTGTTGTAGGTCTCCCGGGGATTCCGCAAGAAAGCATAAGTCGTCCGCGTACATGATTTCAGTGTTCAGTTCATACGACACTTTAGTTTTTGCTCTGAATCTGGCCAGGTTGAAGAGATTCCCTTCGGTGCGAAAACGGATGCGGATACCTTTCGGTGAATTCTGCAAGACATCACGGACAGCAACTGCGAAGTACAGGGCGAAGAGTGTAGGCGCCAGCACGCACCCTTGCTTAACTCCACAGGTACCGGGGAAGAGGCTTGACTCGTCGCCATCCACAGCAACGCAGCACTTCATATCATCGTGTAACAGTCTCATGAGTCGAACAAATTTCTCCGTACATCCTAGTTGACTCAACACCATCCACAAGGCTTGGCGGGGAATACTGTCAAAAGCCTTCTCCAGGTCAAAAAAGCAGATATATAGATTTCGGCGCTGTTCTCTGCTTTTCTCTTGTAATTGACGCAATGAGAAAATGGCTTCACAGGTACCCCGGTTGGGCCGAAAGCCGAACTGTGTTTCAGGCAATATCTCCTCGGAAAGCTTCATAAGGCGGTTCAAGAGTACTCTGGCAAAGACTTTCCCGGGCACTGTTAGAAGTGAAATTCCACGGTAGGAGTTGCAGTCTGCACGATCCCCCCTGTTTTTGTATAGAGCTCTGATGCGAGATAGTTTAAAACTAGTCGGTAAGCGTTCTTCCTCCCACATACGAACAAACAGTGCCCATACAGATGAGTGCAACTCCTCGCCTCCATACTTCAGCAGTTCACCCGGCATAGAGTCAGTGCCGACCGCACGCTTATTCTGCTGTTGTTTAATTGCGAGAACAACTTCATCACGAGACAGAGGCTCATTCAGCGCAAGAACTTCGGGGAGCTGAGGCATTGCACTGATATATAGAAGATCAGCTGTTCGATCCACGTTTAATAGAGAGTTAAAATGTTCTGCCCATTGTTTCAGCACATCTTCCCTACTTTTTAGAAGGTACCCACCACTCGACTTAAGTGGCACCTTCACATGATATTTTGTGCCAGTTAGTTTTCTAACTTCCCCGTAGAACTTCCCCACCTGGTTCGTATCCGATAGCCACTGTATATGACGAGCTTTGTTCTGCCACCACCTCTCCTTTGTTTCCCGACACAGCTTTCTCAGTTTTAGGTCACTTTGCTTGACCTCTGCTATGCCTTTATCTTGATTTTTCTTACAGCGTCCTCGTAAGAGTCGTCGGTGATTGTGGATTGCTTCCATAAGAGAGCTGTCGTTCTCATCAAACCAGTCCTCTTTCTTACGGGCTGTTACACCCAGGGTAGCTTTCGCAGTTTCTAAAATATGAGAAGACAGAGACTTCCACTGAGCATCAATGTCACGACTCTCACTATTGGAAAAAGGTAGCGCTCCAGTCAAGGTATCAGCATATTTTTTTCTAGTCTCTAGATCTTTCAACTTATCAAGGTTTAGGTTTGCTGGCTTTGTTTTACGAAACCTTCGAGGATGGTGAAGGCACAGGCGCAATTTGGTGACTACAAGTTGATGGTCCGTCCAGCAGTGTGCACCACGCATGACACGGGTGACCAGGACTTGTGAAATATCGCTTTGTCTTACGATAGCATAGTCAATCAAATGCCAGTGCCTAGATCTCGGATGCATCCACGTCGTCTTGTGCTTGGCAGGCAGTCTGAACATAGTATTTGTTATTGCCAGATCAAATTGTGCACATAAGCTTAATAGCAGCTGTCCATTGCTATTCATGTTGCCGACTCCGTGTCTACCCAAAACCTTAGGCCAGGCCTCAAAGTCGCGTCCAACCCTAGCATTAAAATCACCCAAAAGAAGGATCTGCTCTCTGAGACATATCCTATCTAGGCATTTGGTTAGCTCCTCATAGAATTTTTCCTTAATATCATCAGTTTTGTCCAGCGTTGGGGCATAGACACTGATGACATTAAGGTAGTTATCACCGTCTAGGTGAAGACGCAGCGTAGTGACGCGATCCGAAACGTGGACTGGATGTTCTTCAAGTCGTTTCGCAAGGCTATTTTTGACCGCAAACCCAACGCCTGATCGCCTGGGTTCAGAGGAGGCTCTACCTTTCCAGAAGAAGGTATACCCTCCTCCGTTTTCTACCAGCTCTCCTTCGTCGGCAAGATGCGTTTCGCTGATAGCAGCCACGTCTACATTGTATCGGCCGAGTTCTCGAGCGACTATGGCAGTTTTTCTTTCAGGGCAGGCATTTTCACTCCGGTCAAGAAGCGTTCGTACGTTCCATGCGCCAAAAGTCATAACAGGTGTTAAAGGTTTTTTATTTTTTATATTGATACGTCGACCACGCTTTAAAAGATGCGGAGGCAGTCGTGGTTACTACCATCCTCGTAATATTGGGTGAGCTTTTTTTAGGGCACCTTTTCTAGCCCCCTCCCCGGCTAAACGGGGAAAGCAGTGCCTCCCTAAATAGGGCTGCTTTGTCACTCTAAGTGCTGCCGAGATCTTTCTGTCACCCAAATGCAGAACGAAAGCGACCAAGATGCATATTGCACCCCTAGAGCCGCCAATGTGCAGGTTTCAGACAAAACCTGGCTTGCATCAAACCAGACCTCTCTACCTCAACCCATCGCCACTGGGCTTTATGTTAAATCGGAGCCATTTTCGGAAGCAGTCAGGTGCGCAGGAGATATTATAGTGCACAAGCGCATGCGCAGGCACAGGTGCACTCTCTCGTCCTAGTTCTCTTTTCCCCGATGGAACGGTGAACCGCTACGACCGGGAGAGAATTCGGATGCAGTGTCTGGTGATAACCACGAGATATAAAATTATCACCTCGGCCTGCCACAATGCCTCGCTGATGACTAGCGAATACCAAAGCGGGGATCGCCCGCAGGTATAGGGGAGACTGGGAGGTAGGAAAATGTGAATGAGTGGAAGGTGTAGGGTTAGAGGATACCAGTACCATGGAAGGAAGGAGGGAAATATGGCACTGGTAGCTAGAGGAATCCGGGGTTGCGTACCCGTGCCCTGGCTTGAGATGAACGGGCAGTTCATCATAGCAGGACCCTCTGGTGCAGCACTCCTTGGTACAGAAGATGTAAAGGACTCAGTTCCCCGTGCAGCATCGTACTTGGAGTGGGTGTATATGTGGTGGACTTAACACATCTTCAAATGATTCTATTCTATTGTATTTGCCAATTATGTCGCTTTACTTGCATGTTGTGTTTTTGATTCTTACATTGCCAGTATCCTAATCTGTTAGGCAGTTATTGAAAATAAACATTTAAAATCCAACGATTTATTACATACCAGAAGGATTAGAATATTTGGTTGTTGAAGTACACAGGCCACGGCCGTAAATGTAGATAGATTATAAAATATAAACGGATAAACATATATGGATATAAATTTCTTCTGTCGTTTTCAGTTTCTCACCTCCGGTGGGCAGACGGGGGCTGCCCGTGACGAACTGTAGGAACAGCCGCTGCTCCTCGCGGCTGTACGAGGCGAGAATGTCAACGAGCATGCGAATGGCGCGCGATTCGGCGTTGTAGCCGTGGTCGGGCCGGATGCACTCGGCGAGCATGCGCGGGTCCCAGCGTTGGTCGCGACCACCTTCAGAAATTAAAAAATAAAACTTGTTATCGAGTTACAATATTAAATTTGACCATGACGTGTGGAATTAATTATGGATGCTGTTTGTTTTATTGTAGAAATATACATTTTGAAATTAAAAAGGTAAAAATGAAAATGTTTGCATAGCTTTGTAGCCTATGTGCATTTTGGGGGAGCTGATTGCGTAAGACCGATTCGCGCTTGACTGGTTTATTTATTTATGAGTAGCAGGGGCGCAGCCCGAATGTCGAGATAAAAAAAACCGAGTTGATTATTTATATATACTAAAAACAGTTTATTTTATAAATGTATCAATTTAATAATTATATCAAAAAGTAAATACAATAGCATACCTGATGGACTACCGCAGAATACCTGCTCCAACTCCTCAGGATAAAATATCTTGAGATTAGCTAATGGGAATACTGATTCAAATCCTTCTCTAAAAGCCTCCATCTGTTTCACCACACCTACAAATGAAATGTTTTATTTAATAATTTTTAAACAATTTGGATAAAAATAAGGGAGTTAGTTTTTTTTATCTTATTACTCACCCTCATATAAGAGCCAATGGGTAACAAGCGAAATGTAATTATGCAGGTTATGAGCGGTGACTGGCAAGTCTCGGCCGCCGCGTCGCAACTCGGTACATCCGTCGCCCGGCAGAATAAAGTCCAGCCCCAACTCCTCGATGGGGCATCCATCTAGTTCCAATGCATTTATCTGGAGAGCAATTAAGAATAAGCCTGTATTAATTTGCCCCGGTATCATACCTAAAAGCAAAGACTGTCTACTATTTAAATAAAATCGACTATTTTAATAAAATCTATAGGTGTTTAAAGCGAATATTTTTTTTTTATTTTATAATAATTAAGTTGTCACATAAAAAAAATTGCCAATAAAGAAGAGTGAGACAGATATGAGATAAACTTTAGTACAGTTTCGTCAATGGTACAGGTAACCCGTGGCCCATTACGTTTCAAAGGTTGCCAACGCAACTGCAACACCTCAGGCATTTTAGATGTTCTTGGGCAGTGGTAATCACTTGATATCAGGTGGAACGCATGCTTGCTTGGCAACTTTTCACATAAGAAAAAAAGCGCTCGTCCGTTACAACAATGTAGTTAACACTGACCAAATGCGCGCGCTGTTCGGGCGTGTGTCGGGCGTCTGCAGCGATGTGGCGCGCCCGCTCGGCTACACGGCGCAGCCGGCACAGCGAGCGCCACAGCTCGGGCGCCACGTGGCGCACGTCGCTCAGCCCCAGCCACCGCTGCTCGCTCACTAGCCAGCGGTACATCGACACCGAGAGCGGGATGTCCACCTGTGTAGAACACAAATCGTCCGCTCACGATCACAGCCGTTCAGCATTGTGCAATAAAGATTTAGTGTTCAATAGTATTAGGTATATGGCTCAAAAAAGCAGATAGAAATGGAATAACCTGCCGGCGTCCATCTTTCCGTCCAAATACAACAAGGCGTCTTCAAGGCAAGAGTGAATAGGTTTCTACTGAGATAGTGCGCTTACCATCAACCCCTGCACTTACCACTTACCATCAGGTGGGATGGCAGTCAAGTGCAGGCCAGTTTCGAATAAAAAAAAAAGGTAGAACAGTTTTTATCATTCCAGGATCCTTATTTATGATATTAATGAACGTATTCTGGATAGAGCAGCAATCTGTCTTGCTACTGTTTTGGTAGTAACTTTATATATCAAAGTCTACTACACTGCATTTAACATTGCTAATGAACAGACATAAACAGAAGAGAAATATTTAGTTTACGTAAATGTCGATAGTTTTAAAGTAACACCTCACGAAACTGAAGCATGTTTAGAAACGTCTAAATAGATAGAAAATCATTACATGAAGCGTAACTGGAAGACGAACATTGCGAGACGATTGTTGTAAACTCACCATCCTAGAGTCCATGACCGCTTTGGCCATGAACTTGCCGAGGAAGCGGAACTTGGCCTTGACGCGCGAGAGGTGCGACGCCCTGGCGTTGCGGCCGACCGCCTGCGGGAACAGGCCGCACGGCCACGACACGTACGCGGCGTCCGGCGCGGCCGACGGCACGGACGTCTCCTTCTCGTGCTCGGACGGCTGCGGCGGGTGAGGGGGGCGCTCCTCGTCCAGGCTGAGCGCGTCGCGCACGGACGACGCGAGCCGCGCGGCCGCGTCCGACGACGAGCGGTCCGTCACCACGGGCGGCTGGCTCTTCACTATCTCGCCGCCGAACGAGGCGGGCTTCTGTTTGAAGTTCTCGCTGCCGTGCCACAGGTCGAGGTCGGCGCGCTGCAGCTCCTGCGGTGCGGACGTGTTCATCGGTGATACAATTTGAATAACATAAATGCAGCCGGTGCCGAACTATGCTGATTGCCATTTATACTCCTGATAGCGCGCATTACGATGATCACATGAAACTTATGTACAAAAGACCTGTAAGAGGTTTTCACTGTGGTGAACACGCAGCAGCTTCGGCTGTTGCTCGAATGGGCAGGCTCATACCACTGCCTCACAGAATGCCGGCGTGGAGTGGAAATGCTATACTTTTGCGTTTCGTCTGTTGAGTGAGGAAACCAGAGCTGACATTCTTAAACAGGTTCCAAGTCAGCTCTTCAGGAAAAGGTCACTCTCAACAACATTGCACACAATGCACACCACAACCCGCCGTACGTATTGGCCGTACATTTACGGACACTACGCAACTAAAAACCGGTACGGTGCGCACCTGCGAGACTAGCGCGTAGAACTCGAGCGTGGGCCCGAGGCCGGTGCCGACCTCGTTCTCGTACTGTATCTCGAGCAGCGCCTTCGTGTGCGCGAACTCGTGCATCACGTGCTCCGCCTGGCGAAGCACGCTGTGCCGCTGCACGGTGCGCTTGCGCCTGTCGAGCCGCGGCGCGACCCTCTCGTCTGCCGCCGCCGCGCCCCGCTCCCCGCCCGCCTCCAGCAGCCGCTGCAGCGCCCGGTCCCGGTCGAACGACACCACGTAGAACAGCAGGTGGCGGCACTCGAACGGCAGCACGAACGGGCTGCGCGGGCAAAGGGAAATGTGTAAAGAAACACATTTATTGTTAAAAAAAGAAACGCATATATTTAGTTACGCGATGCAAGTGTCGTTTATTCGTCATTGTGGTGTTCCGGCTTTGAGCGGGAGATTTTTTTGAATAAACACTAAAGAGAAGTATATGAACACATAATTGAGAATTGTACACAATACAATAACAAAAGATATTTTTGGAACGAAGTTCCTTACGGCAGGCTTGGAGGGGATAGGGATTTTGCTGCGCGACCGAACTGAAAAAATGTGATAGTAAAACCGTAAGAAAAAGTGCGTGGAATAAAACTGTTAAATGAGACGTGCGCAGACGCGACAGTCGCATAATTTTATGTTGTCAAACAAAAATAAAGAGACATATTTTGTTATTTTAGTTGATAATTTGAATTACGATGTTTTTTTTATTTTAAGTAATTTATTATTTCCTAAATACTTTCTTGTACTTAAATAAAAACTAATCAGCAAAATTTAAGAGAAAAATCAAGAAAACCTACATAAGCACGATTTTTTTTCCAATTTGTGTCGATTCTACATTAGCCGAAGGAACTTCGTTCCTACCTGGTGTCCCACGACACCACATCATTTTTTTTAATTTTAAATTTTGTGGTAAGCCTAGAAGGTTTTCATCAGTCGGTTGCCATTGAGGTAAAAGGGCTTACTGCGTAACTTTGTTGTGTAACCACAATAATTATGAGATCATAAACTACCTATTGTTGCTATCTATATCAATACAGAAGAACTACCTTGCCTTTTAGTCTGTCATTATGAATATCCTTTTTAAAGGTGATGAAGAAACTAGTTTAGTAAGTAACTAAATATTGATTCATTAATCAAACAATAAATACTAAAGTAAATGTCTCACCAAGCATATGCTATTTTCCTTAACCATGGGGGCAGGTTCCCCGTCATTATGACTAGTGGATCTTGCAACTGTCGATTAGCCTTCGCAGCGAGCTGTAACAGAGTTGCAAAATTAGTTATTTCAGATCTTACCCATATACAATTAACGAACATTAGTTTTGGACATAGACGTGCCTTGGCGTTGATGAACTCTGAGTTTGGCACGAGTGGACGATGGTCTGGCAGGCAGGCGGCGCGGTAGAGCGTGTGCCAGTGGCGAGCCAGAGCGTGCAGTGCGCGAAGCAAGCACAACGCCGGCAACGACGCGTCCTTTACTTCGCCGGTGGCGATCAGCGGCGATCGCAGCATCACGACCAAGGGCGATTCGCGAACTGGAACTATACCCTCTGCAAACGAAACGGATAGTTTATGAAAAAAATCTCTTTAATCACGATTAACCCTACAACTTGATAACAGGACACTGTTAATGATATAATGTAAAAACTCACAATCCTACATGCCATCAGTGTAAACATAATAGGATAAGATTATTCACAGATCCTATGGATTCTGCAGCAAGGCCCCGCAACCGTCTTTGTTGTTGCAAGAATGATCGGGCTCATCCAGCTAAGTACCAACAACCTCACAGAAGACCGAAGTGAAGTGAAAGTGTTTTATCTCTGCGTTTCTAGCGAGTGAACCACAAGGGCCCACTTTATTAATAGAAAGGCAATGCATCAGCAAGCCTACGGTCGTTGTAGGTGTACCAGGGCAGCGGTTATCACTTAATATCAGGTGAGCCGCCAGCTCGCCTGCCTCGTTACAAAATAAATAAATGTGTTTAGAGTTCTGACCGTTCCACAGCAGGTCGGGCTTGCGCCGCGAGAGAGCTTGGTGGTGTGGCCCTTGCCCTTGCGTGATGACGACGCGTCCGCCCGTGGCGACTCGCCCGCCTCCACGGCGCGATAGTAAATTGTATGCGTTTGCACCCAGATGCCGGCGTTCGCTGCAAAATAAAATAAAACTTTGAATCGCTAATCTTATACACATATGCATGGATAGCTTGTTGTATCTTTGGAATTATTGTAGCGTAATTCTTTTCTTAAAATATTCCAACTATTTTTTAGAAATACCCTTAGGAAAGTTAAATTATAAATAAATAAATTACCAAACATTTTAGCTATACTACTAACCTAGAGGCGTCTCCGTATCTGTGTCGGCATCAGTGTGCTCACCAAATTGTCTAACTGCTTGGTAGACTGTCATGTTATAAGGCAGCACTGTCTCACCGATCAGGAATTCCAGTTTGTGTTCAGAACTAGAGATGAGGGGAAATTAATGGGAATATAATAACAATATAAAAAATATTTTATTTTCATAAATAAAATGATAGAGATTGGATTGATTTAAATTAATTCTTCTAAGATTTCTTTTCTTTAAATAATATAAATTTTATACAATATGCTCTATCACCTGCAGCCATTAATGTATGGTAACTAATGTACTTAAACTTTGCCTGATATCCAACCACTATAATACTAAAAAATAATCCACTGGTTCTTATAAGTGGGTACACACTGAGATTGAGAGATTGTATTCATTATATTAGATTGAGGTTATTGTGACTTATGGGGCTTTATCACCTAGTTCGATTGGATACATTTTTACATGTTTAACTTTAGATTTGATAATGCATGGATGGCAAGGCATGTCCAGGAACAACATTCTTACAGAAAGCGAGTGTGAAGTGGAAGTATTAATACTTTCTCGTTTTGTCGCTTTTTTAATGATTTTAACACCAACTATTGTAGATGTCCGTAGGACGGCGGTAATAACAAGACTTAACTATGTGCTTGTTTTCGTATTTTGTGTGGAAGGGTTTGGGTAGTAAGTTCCAACAACCACTGGTATCTACCCTATTTTAGTCTTTGTATTTATTTGAGTTCATGATCTACAGTACTGTATTGTGTTATAACATCATCATGCGTTGTAATATACATAAATTTCACATGGACAAATACTCGGATCCGAAACAATTAATTGATTATCTGTGGGTTACCAAAATGGAAATCGAACCCACGACCCACGGCGCTGAAGCCAATACCTCGGCAGCTGCGCCACGAAGCCATCGTTCGTGCTCATTTACAAACTTAAGAGAAAAAAAAGACGCAAAGCGAACAACGTTGCGTGTACTGACTCCGCGGGCTGGTGGTGGGGCGGCGTGGCGAGCGAGTCCTCGACGTCGTCGTCGGAGGCGCCCTCGTCGTCCGAATGGGCCGCCGCGGAGGAGCCGTCGCGGGGCCGCGTGCTCGCGTAGCCGCGCTGCGCCAGGTACCTGCCACGGGGTAAACGCTCGTCTCACCAACTGTTCCAGGTCTTTGTCATGATACATCAATGGTGCATAAAGTGGGCGGTACCACCCCCCAGTGGGGGCTAAGGCTATCTGAGGGGGCGCGTGAAACTAAATAATATTGGGGACGCTAAATAATAATCGGTGTGCGGTGGAAAACATAACAGCACGTTGAAAAACAGTTGCAGCCACTTTCCAGACATTACACTCATTCAAGGAGAAGTTCATTAAACAACCCATTTCTGTAATAAATTCGGATGAACAATTTCTGTGCGGCGTTGGCTAATCAATTTTAATCAATTTTAAAGCGGTACACCAAAAAAGTTTGAGAAACACTGTGATACATGTTTGCGCTTTCAGTACATATACTAAATAAACCTTCGTCGGGCACAGAGCTCGAGGGTACGTTTCCTTGGTACACGCACTAAGGAATATATCTAAGCATAGTCACGCATGTAGACATGCAGGTATTAACAAAATGAGGGGATTGCCAAGGTTCAGCATAGCATGCTGTACGTGAAATTGACGGCCGTCGAATGTATTATTCGTTCACTGGAAGCGGTGAGGAACGACTATAACTGAACGAGGGCCCGGGTGTACTTTGTGTACGCGATGCATTAGTTTCCCCGTGCTCTTAAATTGTACATTAACGCTAGGCATGTATGTAGACTTGTCGGGCGGGACCCCGTTGTATCAGACCAACTGTTCGGATAGCTGTGTGACGCCACCTATTTGAATTAGTAGGCAGTGTCCTCGGAGTCGGCAGTGTCCGAGTTACAAACTAAAAAGCCTCGAGTGCATTTTAAATTACGTAGTAGAATTTATGACAATATTAGCATTCGTAATAAAAACAATAGTAGCGTAATAAAAATGTCAAAAATAAGTCTTCATGATGCCCATGAGTGACTTGACCGACATCTCCATCACGAACTCAATACAGGTACACTCACCGTTCAATGGCTTGTACTAAAGCTAATGGGTCTATCCGTACTACACCGCCCTTCCATTGCTTCAGGTTGGTGCAAGTAGGATGACGTTTGAGATCACACTGTAACAATATAACAAGTATTAACTTCAAATTATTGAACAGAGCCACATGTCCACCATAGCAGTTATCTATTTAACATACAGTTTCTAATAAATTGGTACATATTTTTCAGTTCACGGGTGACACACAACTCATGTGAACATGACAAAGGGAAATGTGACAATGGAATAGCATACTTGAAAGGATCCATATGAAATTACACATAATTTTCTTTTTATTTCAACAGCAGGACAACTGAACAAAACTTTCACCCGATTGTATATGAGCCTTGATGAACACTTACAATAGCAGAGATGCTGAGCATTGCCAACTACCGAGAGAGTGGACCCCTCATAACATCACTTATCAGAGGAAGGATGAATACTGATGATATTGAAGCAGATGGAGACATTGCTAACCATGAGCTGGTGGGTGTTGAAGAACTTGAGCGCGGAGGTGGCGGGGCGCGCTGGCAGGTCGTGCACGCGCACCGGGAACTGCTCCAGGTGCGAGACGCACGCGTTCACCTTGCCCACCAGCGCCGTCAACGGGCCAGCGCCAGAGTCCACGCCGATGATGGACACCTTCTCCGTCCAATCGTTGTCGCTGGAATCGATGGTGTCTTATTATTACTGAGATTTACGCGAACACTACTACGTATTATTGAATGAACGACTCGTGTGACGGGACAAAGTTAGGTAGATGCACGAATGCATACCGTCAGTGATAAAAAACCGTAATCATGCATTTGAAAAGTTGGGTAGGTATTTAAATTTAAAATAAAAAGAATAGATATGTAAATATATTACTTTTAATTACATGGACGATATCTTGACATTCAGTGATAAATATTTCATCTGATAGAGAGTTGAATGCCAGAGATATTGTTTATATTCTTTGATTTTTTTATTTCTGTGATCAATTTGTAATTTTAATTATAATTAATGAATGTCGTATATTAAATATGAATAAGAGATAACAGTTATTAGTATGATGTATGATTTGATAGTTTAATAGTGATGTTGTTATCCAAATCATTGTTATGAGTATGAGGGCCTAGACATCAAAATATGTACTACTTAATGAACGTTATGACGAGTTTGTTTCACTACTTTAAACTAGAATGATAAAATTTACCAATTAATAAATAATTATAAAGCGTTACTTACTCGGGAAGGAGTGGCATATCAGCGAAAACGTGCAGGAATAGACGTAAACGTTCTTCGCACTCCGCTATTTCTCGAGTCAAATCGCGGACATCATTCTCTCCTTCCTCTGTACATTCCGAATCAGATTCCCCTCCCGTTAGGAACTGTAGTAGTGCACCCAAAACACCAGAGTGGTTCACCTACAATTCCAAACAAATAGTGTGTGATTTACAACAAATTATAAATTTAATTATTTTTATCAAATCATTTAATACTTTTAAAATAGCGAGGGTTCAAAATTTTTCGCTTGTTCACAAATATGGATTGACATAAAATTAAAAATAGACATCCCAATTCAGTTTATGTGTATCCATTTACATTTTGGTATTATGACAGTAAACATGGAAACTTTTACATAGAAACTTATAATATGGATTAACCAAGAATTAAGCACCACTATGTTTCGTGTAGTGTCATTCTTTAGATTCTTATATATTCATTACAATGTACGCGGCACGAATCCAATGTAACATGGAGTCATGAGTGTAAGAGTAAAGAAGATAGAATAGTTCCCTGTGAGGAACGGGGAGAGGCATGGTAAAGGAAATTACCTCGGAAGGGCGAGGGGCGAAGGAAATTCCCTGTAAGGTAGGAGAGCCATGGTGAAGGAAATTACCTCAGAGGGGCGAGAGGCGGAGGGGGCTAGCTGTTAGAGGGAGGGAGGGAGGGAGGCATCGAGGCGGAAGACAATGACCTCGAAGGGCGAAACGTCGTGGTGGAGCAGCGTGTCGCGCAGCTGGTGCAGCGCAGCGCGGCGGTGGTGCGCGTGGGGCAGGGCGGCCGCGAGCGTGGCGAGCTGCTCCAGGGCGCCGGCGCCTCCGCCCAGTGCGCCCCACTCGCGCTGCAGCCGCGCCGCCTTCCACACGATCCACTCGCGCACCTTCTCCCTGCGCACGAGTTTCATTATTATTATTAACACTTTGTGTACAAAAATATAAATACGGACTTAATGCCAAAGACATTATGTCCCAACCAACCTTACGTTTGTTATTAGAGATGCACAGAAAGATGTATAAAAAAGTTTTATTTTACTATTGCACTCCTTTCAAACCCACTCGCGTTGTCTTTTTTATATTAATTTAATCAATTTCTTCAGCTGTTCCACAAAAGAGCAGGCTCATCCGTGGAAGTACCACACAGAGGTCTCCTCACTCACAGCATAAATTTGAAGATTTATACTATCACATTTTATCTGGTAAGTGATGTCGATGAACGGCGCAGTTATTAACTGACCTCTGACGCGAAACAAGCTTCATCAAATTCATTAACAATAAATACAGTTTATTCATTAATTTGTTTCATTTCATTCGCCGAGTTGATGTTTTAAGTCACATACCTTCTTGTACCCTAGATCAGATTGTATCTTGTAAAGTTTTAAATGTTAAAGGTTATCATAGTGTTGGCTATATACTTACTTGTTCTGTACTGTCAGATTCGTGGAAGTGTGCGGAGAGGCGAGAAGTCCGGTGTCTTTATGCGCGTGGGGAGTCCGTCCCCAGCGCGACGGGTTCAGTGAAGACAGGAACGACGATGTTTTCGAAGTGCCTCCGACACGAGAAGTCGAGCGGGCAGCTGATGGAATTCCGGACGCTACAATAACAAAGCATAAAATTAAAAAAAATTATTGAGGGAAATTTAATTCATCCAGCATATTCATAATATAGGTTATATTTCGTGGAATCGAATGCGAAACATTTGATAAGTAAGGTACAGCGGATTTTGGGTTATATGTCGTCATTATCGGCAACGGACTCCCAATTAGACCTGACGAGGAACCGCATTTCTAGTTTGCAGTTTTAAATAAATTCATGAGAATAAATTAATAAAAGAAAAAAAAGAACAACACTACATGTTTCATTTAAACAAGTTTAAAATATAAAGTTTAAAATAGGGCTTAAATCATTAAATTTTATGAAGAATTAAAAAAATTAAAAGCGTTCCTATAAAAAAATGGCTAAAAAAATCTGGTAACTCCGTAGCGCTGTTGTCAAAGTACTGGCTTCTGCAACGGGAGTTGTCGGTTCGATTCTCACATAGGACAACTATTTCTGGGATTCTGGACAGTATTATCCTACAGTAAGGGCTTTGGTTTTTTTTATTAAAAATATATATTGTGGCCATTTGTATTTATAAACCCACAGATCCGAAAAAATTATCTGTGGGTCATACAAATTATCGCCCCATGTGGACATCTGCGCCACGGAGTCATCAATAAATATATACGTGGGGCGCACTAAAAGTTTCCGGAACGAATAAAAAAAATACTATCAAATGCTCCAATGCTATAGCAGAATATGTAGACACGCTATTTTTAAAATGGCGGCACAATGTAAAAACAATTATTGACAGTCAGCCAAAGAGTTCCATTTTCAAATGTTGTAATGTACTTTTTGAATATTGTTTGTGTAAGTGGCCAGTTCCTATGTATAGATAGAGCTTACCGTGCGGCTGGTGCGCGTGGTGGGCGTGCGCCGGCGGTGCGGGCGCGACGGGCGCGGCCACGTCGTCGCGGCGGCGGGGCGCGCGCGCTGGCGCACCGCCGGAACGCTTCACGGCGCGCTTGCGCTTCAGCATCTCGGCGAGCTGCAGCGGGCTGCCGGACCTGCGATTGAGTTACGACCAATGTCATATAATTATCTCTTATTATTCACTGGATATTTATATAATAATTATCCAGTGAGATAATCCCTATTCCTTACTTATATTATAAAGGCGAAAGTTTTTATGTATGGATAGAAAACCCGCAAAAACTACTGAATAGATTTTAATGAAACTTTATAATAATATAACTTATACATCAGAATAACACATAGGCTATATAATTTATAAAGATTTTGTATGAATTGTTCAAAATATAGGTAATTATAAGTCAGATCAACTACGTAAGAAAAAATTCAGACATCTGCGAGATATACTGGTGTATAATAAAACACATGCCCGTCTGTATCGATTCAAACGCGTGTTTAAATTTATCTAGATGTGCAAAGGCCTAGAGGCTGCGTCGGACTCGTGTGCATATCGCGTATGTATCGGTATAAACGCGCGTCAACGGCACGTCGTGCACAGACCCTTAGAGAAGCAGCTGTCCAACAAAGGACTGCTGCGCTTAGTCATTTTTTAGGGTTCCGTACCCAAAGAGTACAACGGGATCCTATTACCAAGACTCCTCTGTCTGTCTGTCTATCCATCTGTCACCAGGTTGTATCTCATGAACTGTGATAGTTAGAATTTTAATAGAGTATTTCTGTTGCCACAATACAACAAATACAAAAAAAAATTAATAAAAAAATATACAACAAACTCTTGTACTTATTTTAAATAATATAAACACAATTTTTCAGAAATAACATTTAAACTAATCAGTGACATTAACACTGAAAGCTAAATACTTAAATTTTTAAACGAAACAACATTACTAAATTTAAGACATATTAATAAATATTTAAAATTTAACAAATAACTTGACACTAACCTGTGCAATGAGGCGGGAGCGTGTGGATATGTAGATGCCGAAGTTGCCGGTCCAGGCTCCGAACTTTCATTGGCTGTAGCTGTGATGTAAAATAAATTACTTAACAAACAATACATAATGGCACTGGGAATATTTCACTAACTACTTTTACAGGCTTAAAGAGTCGACTGATAAATAACACTAGATTAATCTATTTATCAGGCAGTGTATTCGATACCAAAGTCCTGATCTAAACTAAGATAATAACGTAAATATAAGTAATGCTAAAACGGAACTTACGTAATGAACTTGCGACGAAGGAGCCGGAAGCGGAGAAGGCCAGGGACAAATTGTGATCAATCGTAGTTGCAGACGTAGACGCTGGTGGCGATGATCCTCCGGAAGAACGCACGCTGGTACCGCTCGGGGACTGTAGGCGAAAATTTGTATGTCAATTTAATAATATACAATTTGATAAAACTTCAATGAACAAATACTAAAGTATTTCAGACATGCGGAAACTGACTTTACTATGAGCACCATAGCCTGGTCAATAGTTTTCAAACTGTTGACGCTAAAATAAGTTTTTTTTGTCGTGTAGTTAACTATCATATTGGTGTGTACTTGAGTGAGTCAGTCGCGCAATAAACTAGCAAGCTGCAACACGTCTTTTTTATTCAAATAATCCCGTGCACTACATACAGTCCATTTTCAACTCTAATACACCAACATATGGTCGAAATCGTTCGCCGGATTTTGCTAGCGGAGCTCGGTCGTCGAGAACAAAAAGAAAAAACATCAACGAGCTGAGAACTAGAAACACGTGTCTTAATATAAAATTTGCATTTACGAACACTACTGTGAATCAAGATTAAGTAATAATTGTGAAATATGGCAAATAAAGAACAAATTCTGTCCGTCTTGGAAGATACTGCAAACTCGCTCAGGAAAACACAAGCCAATCTGAAAAAATGTCCAAAATCTAGACTCACAAAGGGATACATAGAAGCCCGCATTAAAATAATAGATGACTACTGGAGGAGCTTCAAATCTGCACATCAAGATCTGGTTAAGGTAATTCCAAAAGAACAAAAAGGAACATTGCCGTATTTTTTAAACGAAGAATTTTTTATCTATGAAGACCTGTACAACGTCCTCCAGGGCGATTTAAAGGACATGCTTATTGCATCTTCAGAATCTTCATCTATAGATAGAACGAATACCAGCGTCAATGTTTCACAAGTCCAAAACAGTGTGTTACATTTGCCTAAGATACAGCTACCGACGTTTGATGGTACATATGAACAGTGGCCTACTTTCATGGACTTATTTATATCATTAGTGCATGAAAACAATTCCTTAAATGATGTTCAAAAACTTCACTATCTTAAAACAAGTGTGATCGGAGAGGCCGAATCATTATTAAAGTATATACAAATTACTTCAAGCAATTATTCACATGCATGGGATATATTAAAATCAAGATATGGCAATAAGCGATTAATTTTGAATGCTAATATGAAAAGACTATTCAATCAAAGAAAAATGACTTCTCAATCAGCTTCTCAAATAAAACAACTTCTTAATACGACCACTGAAACTTTGAACAATTTACAAAATTTGAAAATTGATATCAGCTCTTGGGATCCGATTATAATTTATCTTCTTGTCCAGAAGATGGACCCAGAGACGCATAGAAGCTGGGAAGAGTATGCTTATAAGGATGATTCAGAGACCTTACCAACGTGGAAAGAATTCAAGAAGTTTCTAGAAACAAAATTTCGAACCTTAGAACTCGTCACTGCAACAAGTGAACGAGAGGTTAAGCGAGTAAGAGAACGTTCATGTCATGTTGCCACACCCGTCGCTGAAAAAAGATGTATCATGTGTAATGATAATCACACGCTGAGTCACTGCAAGGAATTTAGTAAGCTGGAAGCTAAGAAAAGAAGTGAGTACGCAAAGAACAAAAACTTATGTTTCAACTGTTTAGTACCAGGACACTAATCGGTTAAATGCAGACTGCCGGTGTCCTGTCGTATTTGTTACAGACGTCATCATTCTCTGCTACATGAGAACAAGACAACAGAACCAATGGCTTCTACGAGTAATCCTACACCACTGGCTTCACAGCATGTAGTAGAAGAGAACAAAGACTTTCAAGTCAACACAATGGTAGCGTCCCATCACACTACTAAACAGGGAGTAGCTCTACTAGCAACTGCGATCGTGGAAGCATCAAACGAACAAGGTCATACCATTCCACTTCGCGCACTTATCGATCAAGGTTCCCAAGCAACCTTCATTAGTGAAAAGGCGACTCAACTATTAAAACTAAAACGTCGACCAATTAAAGGATCAGTTGTTGGAGTGGGGGATACAAGAACGGAATTAAAACAGGTTGTACAACTACAAATATGTTCACATTGGACCTCAAGCACTAGTATCTCCATTGAAGCCTATGTGATGGCAAGACAACTCACAACAAGATTACCTGCAAAAACAATTCAAACACAACCTTGGCCTCATCTAAGAGGACTTACCTTAGCTGATCCCTCGTACTTTACACCAGGGACAATAGATCTTCTCTTAGGGGTCCAAGATTATTCAAAAATTGTACAAACTGAACTCATCAAAGGTCCGCCAGGTACACCATGTGCACAAAATACCAGCCTCGGATGGATACTTTTTGGAGAAGTCAGTTCAATTCCTCGAGAAAAAACACTTACCTTGTTCTGCATCATCAAGTTGATGTAGAAGATATGCTGAAAGCATTATGGGAAATTGAACCAGACAAAAGAAGACATTTAACAATAGAAGAAAAGCAATGTGAAGAAATATATACAAAAACGACAACTAGAAACAAAAATGGAATTTATAAAGTAAAGTTACCATTCAAGGTAAACATTCCGCAATCAATTGAAGGAAATTCAAAATTAATAGCCAAACAAAGATTCATGCAACTAGAAAGAAAATTTCGGAAATCGCCAGACCTGAAAAGAGAATACACAAAGGCTATTAATGATTACTTAGAAAAGGAACATATGGAAGAAATCCCAGAACATGAAAAAGAAAAAAGGTCAGTTTACTTACCTCACCACGCGGTCATTCGCAACGATAAAGAGACCACACGAACACGCGTTGTATTCGATGCTTCCTGCAAGGGCTCGAACAATGTATCTTTAAACGATGAACTGTTAGTGGGTCCACAGCTCCAAGAAGATTTAAGAAATATACTCACTAGATGGCGAATGAAACGTGTATGCTTTGTGGCTGACATCCAACAAATGTATCGTATGATATTAGTAACAAAGGAAGACACTGACTATCAAAGACTTTTCTGGAGACCAAATGAAACTGATGATCTACAGGAATATAGACTTCTTCGAGTTACTTTCGGCACATCTGCTGCCCCATTTTTGGCTGTAAGAACACTTCGCCAAGTAGCGATTGATGAAGGAAACGGAAGACCACAGGCTTGCAAGTCAATAAATGAGAACTTCTATATGGATGATTATCTGGATGGTGCTGATTCAGTAGAAGAAGCTACAAGCCTAGCTAAAGACGTCTCAGACATTTTACAAAAGGGAGGTTTTCTACTTACCAAATGGTCATCAAACAATATAAACTTTTTAAAAACTATCGACGAAAGTAAAAGATCAACCAACGCACAGTTAGATTTAAATCTTGATGGCTCAATCAAAGCACTGGGTATAGTATGGAATCTTAGTACAGACACCTTCCAGTATAATGCGACTTTACCACCAATAACAAATAAAATAACAAAACGCGGAATCCTATCAGACATTCAAAAGCTATTCGATCCACTAGGTTGGATAGCACCAAGTACAGTTAAGGCAAAATTACTCATACAAAACCTGTGGCTAGAAAAAGTCGGTTGGGATGAAAAAGTAAGTGAGACATTGGAAGAAGAATGGCGGCAAATTAGATCGGACTTTACAAATGTGAACACGATAAAGATACAAAGATGGCTAGGTACAAATGCAACAAAGGAAGGAAAAAATACAACTACATGGATTCAGCGATGCTTCGATGAAAGCGTACGCTGCCGTAGTTTATATAAGAACCGAAAATACAGATAACAAGATTGAAACAAGAATGGTAGCTGCCAGAACTAGAGTAGCACCATTAAAAACAATTTCCTTACCTCGCCTCGAGTTGTGTGGTGCACTGTTGTTATCAAAAGTCATGAAACAAATTGGTCAAGCCATGAGAATACCAACAAAGGATATGTTTGCTTGGACAGATTCTTCTATTGTCATCGCATGGTTGTGTGGTGAACCCAATCGTTGGAAGTCCTTCGTCGCAAACCGCGTCGTAGAAATTGTGGAGAACCTAAATAACAAACATTGGTATCATGTCCTGTCAAATGATAATCCTGCTGACATCGCATCACGAGGGTTGTTGCTCTCCGACCTGCAGCATTGTGACTTGTGGTGGAAGGGTCCCAGCTGGTTATCTGAAAAGGAAATTAAGATTAATAAACAAGATATAATATCAACAGAATTAGAAAAAAGAAAAATAAAAATAAATACTTACCTTAACACCGAAGAACAAGAAAAGTCTATAACTACACAATTTGAATTATTTACCAATTTAACCGAACTTTTAAAAGCGATTACTTACTGTCGAAGGTTACTCAACTATAAAAGGAATTTAAGCAAAATAGATGATACGGTCACTACACAAGAAATTAACGATTCACTAATGATTTGTGTGAGAAAGGTACAAGAAGAAGAATATAAAGATGAAATTCAAAGATTAAAAGATCATAAACATGTAAGGAAAATAAGCAAAATTCGATTCCTCAACCCTTTCCTAGACGAACATAACATCCTCAGGGTGGGCGGTCGGCTCAGACATACTAACTTACCTGAGAATAGAAAGAATCCAATAATTTTAGGTGATAAAAACGCGTTGACACCTTTAATTATTGCTGACGTATGTGCTAAACTTAATGCTACAACCAGAACTCAAATAATGGGTGACCTACCAGCAGAGAGAGTCACTCTTTCCAGACCGTTCCTAAAAAGTGGTGTGGATTTTGCGGGGCCGATCCAAATTTTGATGTCCAAGGGCAGAGGAAGCAAAACGCAAAAAGCGTATATTGCAATTTTTATTTGCTTGTCAACTAAAGCGATACATATTGAATTAGTCGGAGAATTAACGTCAGCTGCCTTTATTGGAGCCTTTAGGCGGTTTGTGGCACGCAGAGGCAAATGCAGTCACCTGTGGAGTGATCAGGGAAGGAACTTCATTGGCGCGGATAAAGAATTGCGGGATGCTTTAAATGATGCTAAGCTACAGTTTAAGGAAGATATAGCAGAAACTTTAGTGACGGAAGGAACACAGTGGCATTTTATACCTGCCTATAGTCCTAATTTCGGTGGATTATGGGAAGCCGGCGTGAAGTCGATCAAATATCATCTGAAAAGAATTTTAAGTACTAACCTGACATATGAAGAAATGATAACGATACTTTGCCAAATTGAGGCCTGCTTGAATTCTCGGCCACTATGTCCACTGGATGATACAGACCCCGAGATTTGAATCCACTTACCCCGGGTCATTTCCTGATAGGAGAAGCACCAATCATCGTTCCATCACCTAGCATGAAAGATATAAAAGCATCTAACTTGTCACGCTGGCAGCATACACAAAAACTCCTCAACGACTTTTGGCGACGGTGGCAAGACGAATACCTGTCGAAATTACAGCAGCGAAACAAATGGCTTAAAAAGAGAGAGGAGGAGTTCCAGATTGGTGATGTTGTTTTGATTAAAACAGATAACTTACCACCGGGAAAATGGTCCCTGGGACGAATCGTCGGCAAACATCCCGGCTCAGACAATATAACCCGGGTTTATAGTGTAAAAAGTGGCAGCTTGATAACAAAGAGAACTATAACTAAATTATGTGCTTTACCCATAAATTGTAAATAAATCATAAATTTAACAAAAAGCTTTATAGAAAATTTTACTTTAGAAAATGTTCACAGTTTAAGTAGTCTAACTGATCACAATGTTGTTTACGCTTCGCCAAATGAATAGTGTCGCCTACCTGCAATTTGTTTTTTTAAAATCTAACTTTAGTTTTACATACACTTCGCTTACCTTCATATTATTTTGTATAATTGTTTATTTAAATCATTGTCTTATAACATACTTTATGTATATTGAGGTTTAAATCATTACGTTTGTAATTAATACTTAGTACATAATGTATTTTTGTGATGTTTATACAAATTTAAAGTGTTTGGAAAAGGACCTTAAGTCCTTTTGGTGGGCGGTATGTTGACGCTAAAATAAGTTTTTTTTGTCGTGTAGTTAACTATCATATTGGTGTGTACTTGAGTGAGTCAGTCGCGCAATAAACTAGCAAGCTGCAACACGTCTTTTTTATTCAAATAATCCCGTGCACTACATACAGTCCATTTTCAACTCTAATACACCAACACAAACTTAAAGGTTGATCGGGATTTTTTTTCCGTGAAGCCACCTTAAGTGTTACAAACTTCTAGCTACTTTACTCCAATAGACGTACTTTTGTAGAAAATTTCTTTTCATCCCATAATGTCTACTTGAATTCACACAATGTAAGTGTTCCGGAAAGTGTTATATTATAGAAACACATACTGCTTCATTTAATACATTTTATATATTTAAATTCTTAGATCTTAAACAAACATACCTTAGAAATTTTAAATTGTTTATAGTGCTAATCTTTGCACTTAAGATTGAACATTAAAATATGTAGAAAAATTGCGAAAAGATTGTCGCCGTTGTGGGAATCGAACCCACGTCTTCGACATTCGCGGCCTGACGCTCTAGCCACTGAGCTAAACGGCTGATTGCTACACCGACGAAAATCTTAAATTGTTTATAGTGCTAATCACTATATAGATAGATAGCTATCTATCTAGTGATTAGCACTATAAACAATTAAAAATTTCTAAAAAAAAAAAAAGCAATGGCGACATCTCTCGTTCGAATTATCGTTGTAAAACGATATTCGAAATTCGTTTGTATGCTGGAAAGGATATAACAATAGATGGCGCCAAGCATTGCTTCAAATGCTAAGAAAACAATGTAAAAGAATGCGTTAAGATTTTCGTCGGTGTGGCAATCAGCCGTTTAGCTCAGTGGCTAGAGCCCCAAAGGCGACAATCTTTTCGCACTTTTTCTACATATTTTAAAACATTTCCTTATTTTAATATTTCGAGTCGACCCCAAGTGTACAAATTCATTATGAAATCGAGGCTCGTCATTTTAAAATATTTTTCATTTAGTGTCAGAGAAATCGAGGACGTGTCGTGGTCTACGCCAATTGCGGCAACATACCTAGCGGTGGGGGTCTGTAAGTGACGGTACTTAGGAATAAAGGGTTGGGAAACTGGACTGTAACATAACCCTTAACACCACGTCACGCCGGTCTTCTGTTAGGTCGTGGTAATTACCCGGACAGAACTGCCCGTTCATGCAACAGATAAGACTGTATGTGGCCCTACAGAATAACAATACCTCCATAATACAGTAACAATTTTTGAACGGTAACGGTCTAGTACTTTTTGAGTTTATTCATTACAAACATACAGAAATACAAATCCTTATATAATATTAGTATAGATGGCATTAAAATTGCCCATGATCGTCTACCAGATATCAACAGGCTTGTTTGCGAGTTCTAAATGAATAATTATTCATTAGAACATGTTAATTAGGTTAATTTATAGTTTATCATGAAGTAAGAGGTCTTGACAGACACTCAAAACTTCAACTTTCCACTATTATAGTCTATTTTACGACCTGTTTGGCGTAGTGGATAAGTGAACCTCTCTACTATGCCAGAGAGTGTAATTTCGATCCCCCGCTTGTGGAAAAATATTGTCTGGGTACCTTGAGCTTGGCCTGCCGCGGGGTGTGAGGCTGGCCTGGGGGCAGTGTGGGGTGCGCCGGGGGAGGTCGTTCCGCCAACTGCGCCACCTGGTGGAGGACGCCCTCGCGCCGGAACTGGGCGCCCATCTCCTCGGGCAGCCGCTGCATCAGAATCTCGCCGAGCTGCAGCGAGCCCACGACGATGCGTAGGTCGCTCGACGCCATCATTCCGGCGATATGCGATGAAATCACCTGATAAGGACAATATAATATTATTACTATACATATTAATATAAAAATTAACCCCTTAGCACAAAATATAAAATCATCTGTACTAAATTTCATGCTATATCATTACTCATTGGTTGAAGAGATGCATTGCCTCAGTGGATCTATCTGTGTTAAGAGATTTGACTCTAGCAGTAGTTAAGCATTCTCTTCATAATTGTAGTATACAATAGTATACAATTACACTGATTACTTTCTAAAGGTCAATTTGCAGTATTCACTGAGTACTTTATATACATGTTAATGTGGTGTCCAATACAACTAACAATTAACTATTCTGTATGATTTCTCAGAGCACAGAAAAACCCAAATGTGTCTAATGACTGTTACTGTCTATTTATTCCTCTTGCGGATTAAATGACGGAGAAAAATCGAAGTGTTGCTTGAGTATCACCATTTCTATTTTGATAATCAAGTCCCATACTTTCCCAGATCCCAGATTTTCATGTCGGTTCAACTCTCAATTGTGTATTAAGTACAATTTTCAGAGTTATAAAGGAATGGCTGACCTCTTCATATTATTTAATTTACTTCTTTTGCATTAGTTAAAGCTGAAATTTCGAGGACGCAGATTTGTTACCTGCATCTTGAGGACCTGTCGTAGTAGAGGCGCGTCGGCATAGTAAACGCAGCGCAGGATTGCTTTGAGGGCCTGCGAGCGGACGGCCGGCCCGGCGGAGCTCCAGTACACCTCGTGCAGAACAGCCAGCAGGGCGCGCACCAGTGAAGGGTTGCAGCGCACCATCGCGATGCGGGGATCTTGTTCATCGTTTGAAATTAAGATTGGTGAGGACTTATAACGCGACCTTAGAACGTATCAGCAATATAAGTATCAGCTATCATTAAGTGATTTATTTTAAAAGTAGGTGATAAACGAGCAGGCTGGTCAATGTATTATGATCGCTCCGCTTATTGACTCAAACAACATCCAAGTTGTGCTGCATGTTCTACTTTCGGAGGAAAGACCCCGTTTACCAGGCACAATAAGACGAAAAGGAAAAGTATATGTATTTTTTATTTTCCGTTCATCTAATGAGAGACCACATTCACTCTCTGAAATAACGTTAAAACGTTAACGTTTTTTCTCCAAAATCATCTTAATTTATTAAATTGTTACTTTATTTTAGATTGGGATGATCTGATGAGGAGGAGAGTATTGGGGTTTTTCATTCCATTTAAGCGTAACTCCTTGTCTTATACAATGTTCCAAAGCCTCGGATGATTCTCCCAACGTGATGATCCTTTGATTGACGACTAGGATGATCCTTTACTGAACTAGGGCCAAACAATACCTTCTGCTGTTGCACTAATGGCTAGAGCCATCCGGGGAAGTACCGCGGCCTCACAGAAGACCCGCGTGAAGTGGAAGTATTATGTTTAGTGTATTTTTTTAAAGGTTATCGACGCGGTTAATTACATAATATATACTTTAACGTGTCTAGTGAATTCGTCAGGTGGATGGCCGGTGTCATGGTCCTTCGAAGCAAAAAGGTAACGTCAGAAGGGAGCTGTGGCTGTACCCGGCGCGGCGCTGGCGGCGGCGTCCGCGGCGTGCGGTGCGGGCGCGACGCGCTGCACGGGGCGCGCGGTGCCCGTGTGGTCGTTGAGCTGCTGCATCGCCGTCAGGTCCACGGTGTAGGAGCGGCCGAGCGTCGTCAGGCACACCTCCTCCTCGCCGCCGGACGCGCCCGCCTCCAGCGCTCGGCTCTCTGCCCACGAGTACGACCGCCACACGCCTGATCAATCGCCAATTCGAATCATCCTTACAACATTGAGTTTAAACATATCGGCGTGGGTGTCGCTTTTGTCGGCCGTCTTATTGTGTGAGCGAATGGTCAGTACCGAGCTAGTGCGTTTACCCTCGAACGAGAGTCTTCTACTTAAGATCGGGTGAGCTTACGCCACTAAGCTAAACGTCTAATGAAGAAGGCGCAAGTTCGAACCGGGTAGCGGCGAAAAATTTTGTGCCAGTTTTAAGCTAAATCTTGAGTGCAGAGACTAGCAGTAAAAATTAAAAATCAGGTGAGATTGTAGACGAGCACTGGTCAATTATTAAGAAAAAACAGCCCGACCCAACAAAAACATTCTAGCGACCTTTTTGTATTTTCACAACAACCACACCAATATGTTTAGCTACGCTTTTATTTAAAATTTAAGGAAATATTTTAAAAAATCGGAAATATATAGAATAAATTGAGACGACGAAAAAAGCAAGTAAATTCTTAGCGAACAAGTCCGTAAACGCATTAGTCACCCCAATGTTGTTGCGAATATGCATAGACAGATATGATCGCCTTCCTATCGAATGTATTATTCACTAACTTGTTCAACTACTTCCATCAATTATTGAAATTCCAAAAGGACCACGAAAATAAACTCCTGTTGTAAGAAAATCCAGATGGGGGTGTAATCGAGGGTCGATGTGTCAAAATAAAGATATAGGATCTTTAATTCTCATATTACTAGAAACATTACTAGTCAGTAGTAATTATTCTCTGAAAATATTATGAAAACATTTTCAGAGTGCAAGGTGAATAACGATTTAAAACACGAGACTATCGTCATCTTTGTCGTACCGAGTATCCAGAAACCCAGTTATTTTTTTTATTATTGGAAAAAGTTGCCGGATCAACACGCGCGAAAACTAGCGCGGAGTAGGAAATACCTCTGTCGTCGCGCCACTGCCAGTGCGCGTTGCGGTCCGAGCCCGCCGACCAGGGTCGGTCGAGGTGGGCGTCCACCGCGAAGATGCCGTCCGTCGGCAGCCGCGGCATCAGCTCGCCGATCAGGCACGTGATCTCGTACAGCTCCTGCGGCAGCCGCGGGATCAACTCCACCTGCTGCGAATTAACGAGACGTTCACAAATATTCCAACGACGGATAACTTCATTCAGTATCCAGTTTTTAGAACAGCATGTGGATAGATTGTTTAGAAAATGAAAATTATTCGCCATATGCATTATACAGGGACACCATTTTGTCGATTAAATATTTAATAAGCATATAAGCATTTATAGCCCATGATTGGGGCAGCTTTCATTTCAGTTCAGGAAATTCAAACGGTCAACAATCACTCTTGTGTTGTGCCATGCGCAAAGCAACAAACTTACTCTACTTACTCATAATTACATCCTAACCTATAACTAGACAAGAAGTTGTCAAAAGTAGTAGGAGGATTAGTTCATAAGCATTATTTTCCCATTTCCAATTAAATAGTTAATCTCGTATTACATAGTTTCATCAGCTCGCGGTGCCAATTTTAAATGTGCAACTTCGTTGGTCGTACAAACGTCAATCGCACACCAAGGCAGTAGTTACCTCCTGGTGCAGGGTGGAGCCGGTGAGCAGGCACAGCAGGGTGTCAGCGATGGAGCGCTGGTGCAGGGCGAGCGCCAGCTGCGGGCACGCGGCGCACATCACCCACAGCAGACGGAGCACCGTGATGAAAGTGCCGCCCGATATCAGAGGCGGCTGCACCACCAACTGCGGGAGGATAAACGCATATGCATATTTTTTTAGCTTTCTTTACATTTCATCTTTATAAAAATATGTTTTTAGCTGTGTTTGTGTCTGTCTTAATTGAATTTTGACCTTTTTCTTATTCCGATTGGGTTTGATTAGAAGCTACACATAGCTCAGAAATATTATCTTTGTTTCACTGTTTTGCTAAGAAACCCTACTAATCATTTGGGCTGTGTTTAGTCCGTTAGAGAAACGTATAATGGAAAAGTTTTAATAGTATTCTCTAGCATGTAACGAAATGTGCTTACGTGTAACGAAATGGGACGCTTTCTTGAAAGTTCACTTAATTCTCGTCCAATTATCGCTTAGGGCATTAAACATTTTACTTCATCTATCTTAAAAACATGAATTATATATATATGAACAAAAAGTTATATTGAAAGAAAGGTTATTGTGTTGAAGAGATTTTATACACATACAGGGAACATATAAACACCAATCATCTGTAGGTTGTAACCTATGTAGGACTGTACCAGCTGCGCAATTAGGACCAATGTTTGTATTGCAGTTATCTCAAGTCATTTAAGTATGTCTTTTAATTAAAAATAACGTTAAGACTTATAAAATCGAAACTTACAAGTTGTTGCAGGTTGGTAAGTAATTCTGGTGTAGCAATTTCTTGAAGTCGAGATGGATCATGTTGGAAGCTGTCTACCAAACGGGAGAACGCTAAGCACACGCACTCTACCGATTTTTTGTCTTGTTGAGTTAATCTAAAAAGAAATAATTATGCAATTTTAAGGAATTTAATTGACACCAGGAGTTGAACTCGAGGTGCTAAGTATATTGAATTAAAACCAAGCGCACGGACACTGAGTTAATAAGGTGAAGATAAAAAAATTATATAAATTATTTATCATTTTTATATATAACCAGAAAATCTGTAATTATTTTATGTCTTTACACGAACCTGTTAGCTAGCAGCTGCAGCGAGTCCCTAACAAGGTGAAATTCATCTGGTGTAAGATTCTGACAGCAGTTCGCCGTAATGGATAATGCTGCGCGTTGCGCGTTGATAGAGAAGAAATCCAGATAAGTCAAGCAAGCGGACACACCACGCTGTCAAACAAAAATAATAATACATTCATTTCTGTGAAGTGCAAGTCAGATGTAATAACATAAAAATTACTCAAATTATAGCTAACTACCATCTCCATTACCTCAGCTTTCAAACAAAAAAAAAGCGCACCAGAATCGGTCCATTCATTTAGCAGCAATAATGCCACAGACAGACAGGTGCAGAAATAGACACGTCAAAGTTATAACATCCCTCTTTTTATGTTGGGGGTTAAAAATATCATATAAAAGATATGAATAAAACCGTACAGCCTGCAGTATAGCCTTGGAATGCCTTCGCGAGAGCATGTCCAATGCAGTGAGGCTCTGCTCGGCAACATCCATGCAGGTGATCGCTTGCAGTTTGTCGAGGAAGGCTGGCACCGCCAATGCCACTGCACCACTGCTGCGCGGCAGGGCCTCCAGCATGTACGTCAGGGCGCGGCAAGCGTGGTTCATCTGTGTACAAGTCACACAGTCAGATAAAACAGAAGATACATAGGGTCGAACATTAGCTAGAACATGACCCTAATTTGGAAATCCAATGAAAACAAAATAACAAAGTTAATGGTAACAGTAAAGTAACATGTAGGGAAAGCAAGATGAAGAGATTTAGGCTTCTACTTTAAAATAGATCACCAATCTCAAGTGCGCCACAATCTTAACTAATGATTGAGAATCCTTGCATGAGTTAAACATTGCTAACTGGAGAGAGGAGAGTCAAAGAGGAATAACTTTTAACATTGTATGAGCTACTCAATTCTTTTATAAAGACATGTAGTATAAGAGTTTACCATATCAAAGTTGTGCTCTGCTGCAAGCAAGTTAACAAGTGCCGGCACCACTTGGCGCACAGGGAATCCGGCCAAAGTGTCTTCATTGCCCATTACAAGGAGCTGACACATTTCGATCACAGCTTGCAGCTGTTGACCTTCGTCACCAGTGGCCTGCAATCCAGCCAGCAGTTGGGCTGCTTTGGATGCGGCTGAAACAACACAAAAACATTATATTATCGTGAAAACTAGTGCTGACTACTGTTATTTGAATCTGCATGAGTTATAAATTACATGCGTGGTCAGTAGCACATCTTAACAAGAGTACAGAGCGCAATTGCTACCTCCTGTACATTTAGACTTATCATTTCACATTCAAAATAGAGGATCTATATGTAACCAGCGGCCTGGACAAATTTTTTCCTGTACTTACTACGACTTAAATCTGACAACTTATAAATTTTAAAAAAAATGTGTATCGAAACCAGTAGTCCAGCCGTTTAGGAGGAGTTCAGTGACAGATACACGTACAGAAGAATTATATATATATATAAAGATAAAAAGTGAATGTATTGTGTAGAATACACAAGAATATAGGGGATCACATTATACGCGGAAGGGGCGAAAGAGTGAGTGAGTGAGAGAATGTATGATTGACGCAACGAGCATACCGGAGTTGGCGGTGACGGTGCGGTGCAGCAGGTGCTGCATCCTCGGGCCGAGCGCGCCGAGCAGGTGGGGCGGCAGGCCGCGCGCCTCGAGCAGCGCCTGCAGCCTGCCCACCTCGCCCTCCTCGGAGGAGGACTCCTCGCCGCCGCCGGCGCCCAATGCGCCCGCGCCCCCGCCCCCACCGCCGCTGCCGCACTCCTCGGCCGACGACGACGCTGCGCACACATGCATATCTTGTCTTTAATCAAGGCAATTAATTAGCAAGCCACTGGATCTGGTGGAGGGTGATGCTTAATGTGTAGATAAAAATGTCAACAGTTTTTTTTAAGTTTCATCCAAGTGCAGTCGCAAGTCAAGAGAATCGCAGGTCACTGAGTCTAATAAAGTACAAAATGTTATAAGCCTTAATACTATGAGGTTGAGGGAGCACGATAGCATAGTGTTAGATATAAAAAAAACTCTTTGATTCAAAATGTACATATCACAGTTATTACCTTCCTCTCTATAATTAAAAAATCAGCCACGGAGTCATCACTCACCTGTAGTTTTATGTAGTAAAAAACTAGATTTTACCAAATTTACATACATATTTTACCAAAAGGCTTCTTGAAAAGAAATAATAACAATCTTTACAAAAACGATTTCCATATCAGATTTTTAATTAAGCTAGCAATTTTTTTTTTAAATTAACAAGAAAACTTTAAAATTAAACCAAGATGAAGTTACTTACCCTTGCCTTTCGGCTTGGCTTCGCTGGATGCGCTGTCTGGCATCGAAACGGCCGAAGCTGACACCGGCGGTGTTGAAGATGTAGATGCCACGGCACCCTGAGCACGACGAATTAATATATTAGTAATAGTTATTCATTAACATGAATAACTATTATTTATTCGCTAGAAGTTTTAAATATATCAAGAATGAATAATTGAGAAATACATTCCAAATGGAACATTGTGTACGAAAAAAAAAAAAACGTTTAAAGTTAATAACGCGTAGGGAGAATAATTATATAAAATAAATTGGAAAATCTTTCATTCGCCGTTGTAAATTTTAATCGCTTACCGTGGTTAACGGTTGGGGGTGGGACCGGCTGGACGCACCACCAGTGCTAGCACACGAACCCAGACTGCTTTTGCCTAAAAATATGAAATATTTTTTAAAAATATAAAACTCATTCGATTGCTTTTGAGTATATACTCAATCTGTATTGAAATCGATATAATTTCACTTTCCTAAGTTACCTATTCAATCGTCAAAAAATCTAATAGTGTAAAATAAATACCATTAGTGAGCTACTGATATAAAGGAGTGCTAATATCACCAATACATAAAAAGAGATGCATGTATCTTTTCATTTTATTGATATGTTATTGGACCTGCGTAAAAATCTCACCACACAATAGGTTGACTGGCAGAGCATGACGAAAGGCATTATATAATAAATAAATCTTATATATAAACATTGATTTCTGTTCGTTATCCTGGCTAAAACTCGAGAACAGCTGAACGGATTTGGCTACTTTTGGTTTTGAAATATTTGTGGCAGTCGAGGGAAGATTTAACGATGAGAAATTATGGAAAATCGAAATAGCAACAATTTTATTTTCCCATACAAACTGTTCCTACCTATCATTTTATGGGTGCACTCCGAAAACTCAGATTCAGGTGTGTTCAGATCCACAAATTCCCTAGAAGATTTATATGGCAATAAAACGTTTGCCGGGTCAGCTAGTAATAAATAAAAATAAGTTATTGTGTGAAAATGGTTTTGGAGCACTCGCCTCGCTTGTCCCGTCGCGTTGAGGCCGGCTGCGGCTGCGGCATGTCGCGAGCACGCGCCCGCCGCCCTCCCGCCGCGCTGCTGCCCGCCTCCTCGCTTCCCGACACCTACAGAATCGGAACCAACGATAAGCTCAGTCTCTACTTGGTAAATTACTCACGAGGCGAACTAAATTTACCTAAATAGAAAACAGACTTTGCACTTTCCTCGTATTCCGAGTAGCAACAGATAGACTCTACAAACTACGTTTACATAGGGGATTCAAGGGATATTTAGAACATTAAATTTAAAATAGTCGGTATTTGGAGTTATTTTGCTTACGTTAGTGAGTAAACTTTTCTAATATTAACATAAAAGTCGTGATATAATCTACAGGCTGAGGAACTTAATTGAGCACAATTTTTTATTGATGGGAATTCAATAAATAGATCATGACATGGTCTAAGCTCAAAGCTTATTTGAGTCAATCCTATTTTAATAGTGACGTTAGCTGAAAGGAGTGCAAGAATGTATCTGACCTGTCTTTTAGAAGCAGTGTCCTGCCTCTGACGCTGCGAAGAACCGGCACCCCTCGTCAAGCAAGCACCCAGCGTCGCACCCGTCGCAGCAGCGATGCTCTGAAAGTGTACAACGAAGAGAGCCACTGACTAAGCGGCATAGAAAATCAGACTATCATTCTTTATAGAATATATCATCCAATACTCACCCTACGCGCGTTAGTCTGCCTCAAGTACGGGAGGTCGCGAGGTACGATGAGTAGCTTGCTCTCACCGCTAGGCGCCTTCGACGAACTGGGCTCTGCACACGGGAACGATACGTTAAAGACGGCTGAGCTACAAACGACACGCAAGGGTCTGCTGTTATAGACGCGCGGCGACTTCTGCTGTTAGTCGGGGAAAGTACTCGCGGTAGACCGACGCAAACTAGAAGCATCTATTATCTGCTACCGCTGGCGTGTGTAATCACTTAACACCAGGTGAACCGCCTGCCCGTTTGCCTCCTTTCCCAATACAAAAAAAAACAAACTACCAAAGCCGAACGACCGTTCACCTTGCAGATCTTTGTAGGGCGGCGGGTTGTCCGTCCCACCGCGGTACTCCGCAGATCCCTTTCTCTCGTTCGAGGTCCGACTGTGCGTCGGCTCGCTCGTGGCCGCGCTCGCTGCAAGAACGCAATTGTGAGCGGCTACGTTGAACAATCAACTCTCCGCCGCAAACGCCCGCACTCGACAGACCCGATAACGGCAGATAAGGTGACACGCGGCGCGACCGGCAGTGGCGTCGCGACGCGAGCAACAAACTAATCATTATTTCAAGCCAATTATCGATAATCACATTCGCATAGACAACAGAACATTAAGAGAAATGCGAATTGTTTGCGCGCGTCGCTAATGCGATTGCCGGTAATTGTGTGGCTGGCGGATTACCTGAATTGTCGCTAATGACGGTCGCGGTGGGCGGTCCGAGCTCGCGGTTCTGCCTGTTACGAAGCAGGTAGGTGCAGGAGGAGTGCGAAGCGGTCGCCGATTCGGACCTCTCCGTGTCGTACTCTGCTCGGCTGTCGGATATCGCGTCCTCGCTTGTCTCGTCCACCTCCTTGTACGGATCTATCTTAAACTTCTTCTTGCAGTCCTCGAGTTCCAGCAGGCAGTTGCTCTTTCTGTTCGAGAGCGAGCGGTGCGAAGAACGCTTCCTCTTCTTGCCCTTCCTGCGGCTGGCCGTGGGACTGTAAACTGAATAGTCGGAATCGAGTAGTTCGGTTATAGTAGACGAGCTGAACGGCGAGTAGGCGAAGTCCCTCTCGTCTAACGGCAGCAGGCCGCCTTCGGGCTGATTCGCCTGGCAGTCCTGCGCGGGTGTCGCTGTCGAGCTCTGATTCAGAGGCACACGGGACAACGGCTGTGTCTTTATACTGTTCGGCACTTGCTCACAAACACTCTCGCTGGAGCGCAGGGCAGTGCGTGAGCGTGTGCAGTACGCGACACACTCTTCGGCGGTGCCGCTCGTCGAGGTGGAGTGGCGTGTGTGCTCCTTCCGCTCATGCGACGGGTTCCGGTTGGCCTTCGAGTACTTCCAGGCGTCGCCGCTGGTGTCGTAGCGGGTCTCGTAGAAGTCCGCCCCGTATGACCAGCGCTCGGAGATAGAGTAATCGGAGCGCGGTAGCGAGTTCACCAGGCGCGAGCTACGCCTCAGTTCTACGTGCTTCCGCGGCTCGGCGTCGGTCGCTCGGCCCGAGTGTCTGTTGGTGGAGCGCGGCAGTGGTGACGTAGCGTTACGTCTGTTGCGACGGCTGCGACTCGCTTGGCGCACCTGACGCAACCACCGACCGCCCACCACCCTGCTAGGAGAAGACCTGAGCGAACAACACGCTCCACTTTGATTTACATCCATCACATCACTTAACCTTAAGACGTATGGTGATAACATTCTAAGCCTTTTTATTTTTATGTAATGATGGCAAGTGAGCCAGTGGTTTACCTAACATCAGGTTCCACCAAGCTCGCTTGTAGTTATGACCACTGCCCATGGACATTTGCAACATCCGTAGGGTTGCAGATGCGTTGCCACCATTTAATCAAGTGGGCGCCTGCTACCTCACTTACCATACAAAACGCAGAAGTATAACACTTCGATTTCACGCCAGTATTATGTGAGGATGTGGTTTTTCCCCGGACAGACCTGCCATTCGTGCAACCGCGAACTGTTGCGTGGCCCTACCACAGTTAAACGTGATTTGTGGATGCAAGCTTTCTGAAGAATTTAAAATCTGTTAGCTTTAAATTCTTCATAAAACTTGAACCAAAAAGTCATAAAACTTGAAACAAATGAAAACTTAGAACAGTTTTGAGTGTTATTGGCAGGAATTATAATTTGTTCTACTAAGAATCTGTTTATTTGCTCTGCTTCAAGAGTCTACTGATACCGAATATAAACTGTGTATTGAAAAACAATTTATGGGAATAACTAACAATGATCAGACCAGCCAAGTTCTCTGCCAACATTTGAAATCAATTAAAAATACATGTAAGTTTTAAAGATATTTTTAATTGATATTCTGCAGCTTATTTTTTCTTTTTAGTAATAAATTTTTCTTAAACTTCCATTGATATAACAAAGAATTTTGCAAACATGAAGTGTCTTTATAAATAGCAAAGAATGAATTGAAATAAACATCAACTAACATAAGTAATTACATGTTCCAAAGAATTATTTTTATTAAAATTTGAATAATAACATTTTAATACATTACATTTACATTAAATTGTATAATGGCTTTATCACTGAGTAATTACAATCATTATTATCATTAAAATAACATACAAAAAAAAGAATTTCATAATTACCCTAAGAATTTTTCTAATTAAGTGAAAATGTTCTCCATTACTTTCAATGAGATCAATTATCAACATAATAAAGGGGATTTTGAATAAATTGTGATGAAAATATGTCACTGAATGACTTTTTGGCATCATGCAATATTATGTTTTTTTATAACACATCCCAAAAATTTAACAGATGATGAACATGCTACAACAAGGGTTGTAAGCTGTTTATTTTTCTCTTATAGTATTTATTGTTAAAAAAATCTGCATATAAAAAACTTTGAATATATTAAACACAATGGTTAGTTTAAATAAGTAATTTGTCAAATTGACATAATATGAAATCTACATGGCTCATTAAAGGCTATTTATATATCATTCATTTTAGGGTAGTTTGAGCATTTAGTGACAATATTTATGGACAGATATTAAAGGAAAAACAGTGAGTGTAATGTTGTTTTTTATACTATAGTATGTTTTCTGCATTTTTTTACATTACCCGGCATTATTTGACCTACTTAGTCCACACAAATAGGAGTCATCTATAACACATTGTTTGCATATCAGTACCTAAAAAAAATGTTAAGGACACACTATAGCCGAGGATAATAAACAGTTTTCAGATGCTATTTGATAATCCTATGATTTCCTTTCCCTTTACATCTAAACATTTTTGCATCATATTCATTATATTTCAAATCATTCCAATTCCTCAGTTAATTTGGAATTAGTACAACAATGGAAAATTATCACTATACCCCATGCTTGTCTTTTAATGTTTGTAATTGCGAATCATCTGAATATTTGCAGGGCAGTATCAGGCTTTAAATATTTTCAAGATTGTTGGCTCTAGGTTTGTTTCAAGGATTAGACTCCTATATTATTTGACAACCTATAATAGAATATGTAGTAAATATAACATTTTTATATTTATTAATTATTAATAATTTTTAGACATTTGATTAATATATATTTCAAAACACCTCCATTTATTAATTTGTTACATTTTTAAATAAAAATTAAGACAATAATGTGTAATAATATAGTAGGTATTATTCACATATACACTTCAAAAAATTGTTTGCCTAAACAATTTTTGTGTACTATACTTATGTGTAGTGCTTCAGGGACACTGTAAACAAAGTTAAGTATGTTGTTCATTCCTATTATTGGATCTCTCAGTGCTACAATATATGAGATTACTATTTAATGTTTCACAGCAGATTTATTTTCAACTAACAACCCTCCCAGGCTTCACATGGGTTTAATATATTTATATGTTAAAAGGGTTTATATATTACATAAATATAAACCTTCCTCATGAATCACTCTATCAAGTAAAAAAACCGCATCAAGATCTGTTGCATAGTTTGAAAGATCTAAGCATACATAGGGACAGACAGTGGGATGACTTTGTTTTATACTATGTAGTGACTTAACAATTTACAGCTATTTAATTAGTTCATCACTAGGGGAAAATTGTAAAGTGTGATAAACATGGGGGTGTACCTGTTTAACATGAGATTGTATTTTCACAACTCGCTTCAATATCATTTCTGCATAGCTTAGTGCAAAAATGTTGTTGTTATAAAAATCTATTTCCTTGACCTAAATTGAATTTTTATTGTTTTAAGAATGCTTGAACATTTTCAAAACAACCAATGAGCAGACTTGTCATTGGGTATATCTACTTTTCTCATAATCATTACAAAGATAGATTCGGCAAATGTAAATAACTTTAACTCTGGCATAATTCAATTAAAATAAATTTTAAACGATAGAGAAAAATCTCTAATGATTTAATCAACAAGCAGAATTCGGCTCTATGATTTTAAATTTATTTTAATTGAATTACGCCAGAGTTAAAGTTATTTACATTTACCATAGATTTCTACAGACTGCCCTTTTCTCATCAAATACTTTGTTTTAAGAAAATATAATATCTATTAAAAACTTATTAGTCAATCTTATAATGCCAACAAACATCTTAAGTAAACCGTATTCACTAAGATTCCTATTTGCAAACAATGTTTTATATTGTTTATTACTTTAAAGCAACATCCCACATGATGCAAGCAAGATTTTTAACTACTATTTTACAGAGTTAAAGAAAAAGAAGGTTATAAATTAGACTGTTATTCATAATATTAATGTAACTTATATAATTTAAAATTTTTATACTTGTATGTATTCATGTGTGAATGATTGCTTGTCCATGTAGATCTCCAAAACTATTAGTCGGAGTCAAATCTATTTTTATGATCAAAAATTTTGTTGTACTTTTCAGCTTTAAAATAACACCATTACACTAATGTTTGAGATTAATGGTCCATCAAATAAGACAGAATCTACTGGTAAATATGAATGTCTTGGTGAAAATAGTCACTACATATTAAAAACATCTAGCGATCCCATTGAAATCCTTCTTGTAGAGACTAATAATACCTATTACATATAACTAAGATCATGTCTCTTACCCGCTGGACTCTCTCGTGAGTGCAGAGTGCGACGACGGTGTAATGTGTTGCTCGGCCATAGACGACGCTGGAAAACACACGCGGCTGCTTGTGTGGGGCCTGCGCAGGCCGCCCGCGCCCGCTACCTGCCCGGCACCATGCCCGGGCGAGCGCTAAACCGCCGCGTCTGCATCCACTGCACCGCGTAATACCACCTTCTCACAAACACATCACCACAGGGCGCACCTAATCAGTAATTGTCACCGTCACACTCACTGCACACAAGATCAGCGTTCGTTACCGTACCGAACCGCGCCTAAGATATTAACTGCACAGCTATCTGGAACAAATCGAGACATACAGTCAGCAATGGGAATTGTGAACAATGCTGCGTTACATAAACATTTGTACTATTAATTAAAAGCAGCTACCTGCCACCGAAGCAAAAGATCGATCGCCTTGAAGATGTTGTAATATAATAAACAAGACTTTTTACGCAAATATCACACCAAATTATAGTATTTAAATACCACGTTTAAATGGAATTATCGTGGTGGATGACACATCAAGGACAGCTACAGATACGCTTTTCGACATATTTTTCAATCTACACACAGCTGGCTAGCTGTCAAAAATATAGTGTTGCCAGTTCTAAAGTTAAATGCTTACTACAGTACGACTTGACAAAAGTTTTTATAAAATAGTGTAAATACGGCCAATAGTCGTTATTATTTTTATTCTATATAAAAATGTACGATTAATTCATTGTTGATTTTTCTCTATCGCTTAAAATTTATTTTTCTTTTATTACGCCAACATCAAAATTAGTTACATTTACTAAATGTACAGGCTGCACGATGTCTCCAAATAAGCTTTATGCGTAGTGTGTATCATGAAAAATTTGTATATTAAAAACTGGAATTGACATATATATTAGTTTAATTTTAAAGTTTGAATTTAAATTGGAAATTTTGCACCGATTATATTTAATGTTTTCTTTTTCCAATTTGTGAATACATTTTATGCTTACTGCGAAACTGGTAGAAATGGGGGTAAACATGGCAACACTGGTAATGCACTGCATTTTACCAATCACAGAAACTGACAAGAAAAGCACAACGAAAGACAGAGACGGGGCGAATAGACGTAATAATGTATACAATTATTACACATAGATATTTTATAAACACGGCGCAGAGATAATCTATATTATCTACCTACACCCTACCCTGCTTTTAAAACAAAGTAGTTTAAAATGGTTTTTCATGGTTTGCAATGAATGAACAAATGTTGATTCAAAGAATGAAAACCAAATTTTCCAAGAGTTCTTATACTAAAAACTTATTTGTTTAATATATTTTGTAGAACCGACGACATAATGTTATACAAATGGATTGTACAATAAGTGACGAACTAGCAGCGCAGTAGTCTATCAAGGGCATTGTTATAATACTTGACCTGCTAACCGAAATCTGATTCAGCCTTCGCTTAGTCAGAACAAAGTGAATTTACATTATTCCAACGTTATTTTTAATGCTACTAATCGTGTGCATAGCACATTGGCCGACTTGAACGCGACATTTACAAGGGCCTCGTGTATAAAATGCAGAGTGGCCGCTACTGGGCCTGGCGTCGCCTCATCTCGAGTTTGTAGGCGGGGCCAGGGGTCAGTGTCGCTGGTAGGCAACCGCGCTTGTTCATGTTGCCCGGTTCATCCGGAAAGGCCAGTTTGATCCTCAACTGGCGACGCTGCTTATATGGAAAATCGATGTCAATTATACGAATTCATATTTTAGGTGTTTACGGTCTATGAATTACATTTTTTACAAATGTAAACCGACTACGCCACAATACGATAATCGTTCGAATTATATATAAATTCTATCCTTAAAGTAATAAATTGCCTGCATCCGGATCTTGATTCCAATCTAGGGCGTACATTGTAACACAAGTCGTAGAATATATGATTTGCAGAAATATGCAAAATAACCAATATTAAAACTATGATATTTTCTGGACATATTAAGATAACATTCAGAGCAGTTATACCAAGTATTAATTAAATATCGGTCTAGTTTTTCATTATCCATATTATATGCCAAATGGTCTCAAGGTATTTGACGAGAAGGTCGATATGGTTCTATTTCTAAACAGAACCGCCTTACAGGCCCAGAAGTAAAATTTCATTATCCGCCTTTTCTAATTACAATGTAGTTTCGTAACGAGGATGGGGAAATGGGTTTCCTATTCGCAGTTAAATACTGCAGTTTAGTCCAGTGCCGGTGCATAAATGCAACTTCCAAGGAGCATGATATAAGACCACGACCAGTTCTAGCGTGTACGTCTTTTTGTGTGCACGACGAAGGCTACTATAGATATAGGCATAGATAAACCTTTTAAATTAAAATTACACTTATGAGATTTTTTTTTAGGTTTTAAAGGTTAAGCCAAAATCATTGATATTAACACTAAATAAATACCGTGTCGAATGTAAGTCATTTTAAGGGTACGGAACAATAAAATAACTTACACATCTGTCTGTCCGTCTGTGCAAGCTATATCCATCAACCATGTTGCCGTTATAACAACAAACATTAAAAAAAACAGATTAAAAAATATTTAAGTGGTGCTCCCATTCTACAGACATGATTTTTTCCCCGTTTTTATAGATAATGGCACGGAACCCTTCGTGCGCGGGTCCGACTCGCACTTGGCCGGTTCTTCTATTTATAGTCATTCATAGTAATGTTCAGAATCAGAACCATTGATCCTATTTAAAAAATTCATTACCCATTTGGAAGGTAAATTATTGCAGATGAACATAGGAATATTTATGTGTATCCTAGGTGCAGATGTGCATCTGAACATGAAATTAAATATTATACATATGTTGAGTACAAAGATGTAATTACATCAGGGCGAAACCTTGATCGCTAGCAATAAATGTGCCAAAACAATAGTTACCATTAGTTTTTATTTAATCGTTAATAGATGTCATAACTAATAGAATCACAAAACACGATAAATTTTACATCTGCAATATATCCACGTACAGATACGACATTGAAATAGATAAAGTGAATGCGTTATCGCTTATTCCGATGTTCAAAAGTTACATAAGTCGTATACAGTGCTATAAACAAATTTTATATTTAAACATACTTAAGGCCGTGATGTACCGTTGATTACGTTTGTTTTTTATTTATACTACTCGCAAAAGTTGGACGAGAACCGGCAACTTCGAGCTGAACGTGTGAAAAGGCAGCGTCGTCGATGGTGTCGGTTATTTTTATGTTCACCATGTAGCGAATGGCGATGCTAACGGTACTCGGCAACCTAGCCAAGTCGGGCGACGGCGCCGCGTCCCGTTCAAAATAAACCCGTCCGGTTTCGATCCGTACGCGTCGTATTGTCGAGCCGCGGCAGTGTGCGCGCACAGCAACGATAATCATTCGGACGAAAGATCCGTTCAGGTAGACATTGTCCTCAAGTTGCACATGCCACGTCAGGTAGACGCTCTTGCGGGTAGAATAAGGCAACGAAAGGTGCTCGTCACATACATCCACATTAATACAGCGCGAGGGGGGCGGGGGCGGTGGAGTGAAGAGGGGAGGACGGGCCGAAGCATCGCGGCAAAAAAGACGTAAATTCGGCGACGACACGCCACTGATTTGTTATTCCAACATGACCTTCCTTGACTCCGGACGTATCCTGTCGTCACTGCAGCGATACGCACGAGGCATTGTTTTAAATCGCTTTGCGTTGTGCGTCGTCAAGCCTCCCAATGAGGTGGGAACGTTTTGAACGCGAAATAAAACGGATTGATTAAGCGAATTTGAGAATTTGCGAAAATTTATAGCCACATTAGTTATTAACAATGCTGTTGTTAATTATGATAAGACATCTAGAAAAATGCAAATTGTTAAACCATATTATGTGTGAGACTGCATACAAACTTAAAACACATTTACGTATCATGTTATTTGAGAAAGAAAGTTCTGGCTTCATGTTTGGATTTCGACAAAATGGATTATCGTTGCTAGTTCCGATCGAGGACACTTGTCATTCGAGAGCCACTTAAAATCGAGTTATCGTTTTCGTGAACCACACTTCACGGCCAGGTCGCCAGTGCACATGAATTGTAATCTTAATAAATGCTTTGCTCATTTTATATCGCAGAAGACTTTGACTAACTCTGTATATCTGTTATATGTTTGTATTAGTCTCCCTTGTTTTAATTTTTGTACTAATATTATCTTGGTAAAAAGAAGTAAAGTTACAGCCTATATATACATCCCACTGCTGGGCAAAGGCCTCCTCTGTACAGACGGTATTAAGGCATAATCTACCGCACCACACGGCCTCAATGCGGATTGAGGGACTTCACATATTATATTCGAAATATTTTTTTTATTTAGAAAATATACAGGTTTCCTCACGATGTTTTCTTTCAACGCTAAGCACGTGATAAGTCAGTCCTTAACAGTTTCATGGGTGCCGGCACCGGATCGAACTCAGATTGTTCGAGTATATTAAATGAAAGGCGAGCGCCAGGACACTGAGCCATCACGGCTCAACTTTTATAATGGTTGGCATTGAATTTGCAACCCGTCAGGTGCTGTAGAAATCATTTCTATAGTCCATGGGTCATTGGTTCGATTCCCACACTGGACAAGTGTTTGTGGCAACAGGTCCCATGGATCATTTTGCCGGATCTGGGTTTTTGTTCGCAAGGAGGGTTGACGGCATGATTCACATGTTGTACCGATGGTGGGATAAGGACAGGAGAAACAAGAATAATAAATATTAATGTACCGATGAAGTGTGCAGTTTTATTTTGAAAAAAAAAAAAAAAAAAAACAATGCCGATTTATTTAGATATAAAAAAACAAGTGCAGTTAGCTTACACTTTATACCAGTCCTTCTTAGACACGTTTAGGGACGGGCCTGGTAGCATAGCACACCATTGAATCCGATTTTGTGCTCTACCGCATCGCGATGCCAGCTGGCGAGTGTATGTGACTGCGTATCATGAATTTTTCGGACTAATTTAGTCAGTACTAGATATCCGCCCCGGCTTCGCAAGGGCGCAATGTATTATACATATAAACCTTCCTCTTCAATCACTCTATCTAGTTTTGAAGATCTAAGCATACATAGGGACAGACAGACAACGGGACGACTTTGTTTCAATTATTATACTATCTAACTACAATTTGTGTTAAAATCTAAAATGGAAAGGTTTCGAGATAAGACCTATAACGACATACAGGTACAGTAAAGCACGCCGCTGCCCGTCAGCGGGGGTGGGACGAAATCAATCCGTTGATCAGCCGCTGCAGCGTGGGGGAGTCAACGACCGGCCCAGTGCATCGCGCCCCCGCCGGGCCCAACGCACGCGACCGCTCCGGATGGCTGCCGGTTCAACGACCCCTTCGACCCCCCGAACAAACCCTCCGCACTCGCACTAGTCGTCGCTGAACAAAGATCATATCTCGGCGATCCCTGCTGGGGTCGCTATTTCGAATGCTAATTGATTTTCACATTCGCCAGTTGTTGCGATAGTTTCGCATATCAAAGTATCCACCCTTCCATCGTATTTTTTAACTTGAATAAAAAACGTCAAAGGTAATAGGAATCAAAACTAGATAATAGTGTTGTCTCAAAACAACACTTGGTAAACAATAACAAGACGACGAGAATATTTCGCTGTTTACTTCAATGATACAGTTTTTTGTACGCAGCGACATCGTTAACAGAATAATTAATGATTCACCGCTAGCCAATGCCTAAACTACTGAGAAACTGTGCGGATATATGTGTATTCGCATCAGGGACACTGTAGGCGACAAATTAAACGGTGCCCGGCGACGAGTGCTCCATAAACCTGTTTCGTGTTTTGTATATATACAAGGTCAAATCGCAACGCGCGACATACAAGACTGCAGATGTTAGTGCGGCAGCACTGTGATTGCGTTCACAGAGAGCCATGTATACACAATTAATACTAGTATTATACGTGTATACGTTGTCTGCGACGTTACAGAGCGGCTGCGTGCGTCGCGCGCCCGCCTGAAATAGGTACGGAGCGCTAAACGAAATCGATTTGTGCATAATAAACCCGCCGCAGAATACCGTGCACGTAGTTTGAAAACTAAAAGTATCGGACAGCGGCATGTTAACTAGGAATTCGTAATGAACTCGCTTATGCAGCGCTGACCAACTTCGACCTCGGTTGCGCCTTCATGCTAATTTTTATTGTACTATCGGTTGCTTTAGCGGTTTGTTCAAACTACATTACATAACGAAAATCCTTAATCTACGATATAATAATATTATAATAATTAACATTATAATAATATACAATATTATAATATCCAGCCACATATACTAGTCACAACAATACGAGATGCATGATATTCCAGAATTTATAACATCTATCACTACACTCATTAGTCTTAAAATAAATATTATTGTTAGTGATAATTTGAACCTCATTGAACTTAATATTTACTTAACCTTTAGATGCTTAAATCAGTTAAACTTGCCACTAGAAAGAAAAGATTAAAAATGGAAATCTATAGATTGAAAGGTCTCTGGAAAAATTAATTAACCTGGACATTAATCAACTTCGATTTTTAACTGTAAAATTACATCAAAATCATCATTTTCTACAGCATCTTGAACCACTATACGAGCCAGGCGCTGTTCTAAACAGTGATAAACCTAAATCATGAGTCTCATCGACCGTATAAGGCCAAACTGGACTATGACCTATATGGCCAAACGATACAATGGAAAGCGAAAACTCTTTTCTTTGATTTGCAAAGTAAACTTCCTTAATAAGTTTTAAGAAATCGGCACCAGTAAAATTACGAGCGGACTACTGTTAATTTTGCACAGTGTATTTTGTACATTGCTATCATTATAAATTTATTTGACGAATATTTGTGGAATCAAATTTATATTTGTTCTTGTTGAATTAAAGCACAGAAGAACTAGACTCTTCGTAAATAAATGTATTTTTTTTCTTTCTTTGTTCTTTTTTCACATAATGAGCAAATACCGATACTGGGTCACTAATGTCAAGTAAATTATTATTTACGTATCTATATGCTAAATTTCACACCGCTCTTACGTCCGAAATTAGGTGAGTTATATTTCGAAATTTTTATTACATTATAACAAAAAGGTCAAGCTCTTCACAGCATGTCAAGATTACAACCATTTTTATTGTCAAATATTATATTCTGAAAAAGGATTTTTCCTATTTCCTAATGTTAGTATTCAAAGACACATGGTATCTAAAAGGCTTTGCTATATAATTCCATTTGGGATAAAGAGTTGGATATGTTGCTGCTTATGCACATGTCAAATGCTTTCAAGGTCCTAAGCGGTACTCTTGTATAATAATTGGTCATCGCAGCAACTTCTGCTGTTGCACGCATGGATACGTTTGGCGAAGTGACTATGGCCCACAGGATACCAGGCCGAAGTGGAAGTTTTACACTTTGGGTTTTGACTTTCGAGCGAGGTAGCTCTAGGAAATTCTTTTAAAAACTAACGCATCGGCAACCTCACAGGTGTTACAAAATATAAAGACTCCGCGTACGACCACGATCCACAAAGGGTACCAGCCAATATCAATTAAATTTTAAAAAGCTCACCACTAAGCGGTCGGGAAATGGAGTCACAATGATTAGAAATAACTGTAAATAGTATCAAGAGGTACTTATGTTAATTATCTTAATATTTACCAACTTGATAGACGAGCAAATATAAGTTTTAAAGAAGTCTCCGATTGCGGATGATTGTATTTGTTACATTATAAAGACATTGAGCGTTACTTAATTTAATACAGCACCCTCAATTAATAACTAATCACCAATAAATAACCTAATTTGAATCATTAGATCAAATGTTTACTAATATATTGATAACCCATTAGGACCCCAAACGATTCTTGATCATCCAATTAACTGTATGTTGAAATTAATATTTTGAGACACTGTGATACATACAAAGTAAAAATGAAAATGATTTCTTAGAGTAAAAAGTGTCGAAGCAATGTGTAATTCTTGAAACTGGATTATAATATTAAGGTTACCCGGATATGCAGCGAAAATACACGCTTGAAGAACAAAGGACACCGAGGGCTTTAAACGGCATTGGTGTGTTGAACAAAGTAGAAAGAGGCTCCATTTATTGGTGCGTTTTCGCTTTTATTAAGTAAAATATCTTTATAGGATATAGGAGATTTCAATATTATACGTTTTTAAATTTGACAAGTCCAGGCCAACAGTGATGATATTATAATTTATTCAGGAAAATTTATAAGAATAGAAGATCAGAGCCAAAACTACAAGTCTGAGATTTGAAGTATATGTTTGTTGGTATCATAAAGTTGGCTCCGCTAAGAAAGGATATTTTAGATTTTCAGGTATTTTATTTTCAAAAAAATTAAAAAAAATTTATTTTAGCTATAAAAAATGTTCAGAATTAAATGAACTTATCACACAAAATCGTCCCCTAACTATATATAAAACTAATTTATGGAATTTATTCGATCGATTTCATCCACCGGGGTTTCGGAACTTTCATGATCACGGTAAAGGTTCACTGTATCCTGAACTTATCTCGCATTACTGATTATTAATTTTTATTATTATTGATTATTAAATTGATCTGAATGGACTGAGTTCTATTTTATTTTTTAGCTCCCAGACGTTCTACTAAAATTTAGATGTTTCTTTATTTTAATAGCATTTTCTGTTTAATAGCATAACAAATTATCTTTTAGATCAGGTAGAAATTATCGAACATACCTTTGGCAATCAGGCCTCTATTTTAATAACAAAAAATACAATAAAATTCAACAAGTCGGTTCCGAAGAACTTTGTTCATATTGCATTTGCTTCCTGGTAACCTTTTAGATTTTTCAGACAATAATAATCGACGCTAACAGGAGGAGGGTCACAATTTCTCGCTGCATTATATTTAGTGATATTGGGGCAGAAACGGAGCGAAAAGCGGCTCTCGTATCTCATCGGGCGGAGAAAGCTGGGGTGGCGTAACAGTGCCGCCGTCACGGAGCCAAAAGGCATCGTGACAGTTGCTCGCGCCTCTTGCATAACGTCTAACGTTCGCTGCGACCGCTAACTACTAATCCACAGATAAACGCTGAATACAAGCCGATCCCCGGCGCCACTAACGGTTGGGCTGATCTTACTGTCCGGACTCTAGTCGGCCGGCCTTCACCGGCTATTTTTTTTATCATACTCACCTGGTGTAAAGTGATAACCCCCGCCCATGAACATTTGCAACACCCGCAGGGTTGCACATTTTCATGGGCGGCGGTTACCTCCCTCACCAGACGAAACGCAGTAGTATAACACATCCACTTCACGGCGGTCTTCTATGAGGTTGTGGTACTTCCCCGGACGGACCTGTTTGTGCAACATGGCCCTATCACGGTACAACGAAACAATCGAGGATAACTTTGCTTTTTTCTGACATAAGAAGAAGGTACATTAATGAAAGTAGGCCAGCGCCAGCGGATTGAGTTCAAGTGTAGGGCCGTTGCGCAATTCGCGCAAGTGGAGCAACGCCGTATCTCATTCGAAGAGTAACGTATTCGAAACACCGTAAATTGTACATATAGTAAGTACACTAATCAATATTTGTACATTGGCAAAATGTATAATCTCCCATTACTCGCATCTCCGCCACGCTGTCGGAAACCAGTTTGGGTGGCTGTTTATACGCGATCTTTGTTTACGTTTTGTGATCGCGGCCGTTTGGAAATAACTTTTTTTTAATGTCGAACATTTCACGCCGCAACGACGCCGTCCGGTTTTCCCTCGGCTCGCGACGAGACACGTCAAAGTTTCACATCGAACACACTCTCATTTGTCCGTTCGCTTATTTCATTATCAAAATTGTGTCGCGTTATCGGGGTTTTTTATCGTGTCAATATTTTACGACTCGCGGTGAATCTGATACAGATTCGCGCGAAGCGGGAGGTTCTGCTTTTGTTGCTTTATTAATTTCGTCGCATATAACATATTAAAATGCACCTTATTTAGTTGCGATATTTCATATAAAGTTATAAAAAGTAGTGCACATTTTATATAGAGTAACGGACACCCAGGTGTCGGTGACTATTTTTAACAAGAGTAGGATTATATAACGAAGAGTCGTCTCAGATTGCCCCATTACTGCAACGCTGTTTCCACAAGCAAAACACGCATATAGGAAACTCAATTAAATTTATGTAGGTCAACTTATTATAAGTGTTAGGATAAAAAAAAATATCTATATATCGGTGTGTCTCACGTGTTAATTTATACCTACAATAATAAATAGCATGCCGTTACAGATGCAAGAAATAAAAAAGTGCAATCTATTTAAAAAGTTACGATAAATAATAAGTATTTTGCTAATTGGTGGCGCTCTGTCTGTGTAGATTACTAGATTAT